CAGGCATAATATTCAAAGTGGGGGAGGGCGGGCACCATTACTCGACGGTCTTTCACGATCGGGGGGATGGCAAGAATAGTACATAAGCCGCAAGACCTGCTACTTCGTAATCTGACGTTGCCCCTTCAATACGCCACCCTACCAAAATCAAGGCAGGACATCCCACTCCACATCCCCTCTCGAAAAAAAACCATCTTGAATTGATAGCCAACTAACAATTACTACTAGGCACATACAGAAGGTAGGAAAATAGGCCCTAAAGTATGTACCAAAGAGAATCCCGATAGCCTCATGTTTCTCCGTTCGCTTTTGGCCTTCCTTTCCCTTTTTTGTCCCTCCCCCCCCCCCCTCCTCCCCCACTGTGCCCAGGCCTGTTCACAGCCGTGGCAGTCGTAGCCTCTCTTTTTCCTATTTGTCCTCCATACTCGGTAAACGGCGAGTCCTTTTGAGCTCAAACCTATGAATGGTTGACGAAGAAAGAAAGAAGACGCTGGAAGAAGCATCAAACCAAGTTCAGTGCAAGTGGCAAGCGAGGATTCCATGGCTGAGGTCCAGTGAGGTGGTGTCGGAGCCCTGTGGGGCAGGCTGCAAGTAGTGGGTGGGTTTGTACCTCAGAAGGTACCTCAGTACAGTAGGTAAGGTACCTGACCTGCTCTGAGCTGCGGGCACAGAACGACCGCGGCGGCACAGCGCCCCCTTGCACGGCACCAGACACAGACAACGACGTCGACCAGGGACAAAGTAAATTAGCAGCATTTGCGGCGACTGGGACTAAGACGCAGCAACGCACCAGCTACGCAACCCAAGTTTCTCACATGGAGCAGGCAAGGTAGACAACCTGGAGAAGAAAAAGGTATGGATGTTTTCACGGATCGAGGATCTTTCTCCTCCTCCTCGTCAACCTCCTCGTCGTCCTCTTCGTCGTCACTTTCCTCCCTTCTTCCCATCCATTGATGAATCACTCTCCCTTCGTCCTTTCCAGGTTCTTCCCAGGCAGCTGCTTCACCACCTCACCACCTATCCAGCTCCTGCAGCGACTCCTACCTTACTACCTTGCTTGTATCAAGAAGAAGAATTGCTGGCTGGCTGGCTGGGTTGGACTGGACTTGGCTGGCTTAGTAGCTCGAGTTCGGGACGTGGAAGCGTATATTGACGGGGTCCCTGCCATGGCTGAGGTCACAACGCAATACACGTCCAACAACACGATTTCACTTCACTCCAAAGCTTCGTACCTGCTGCCATAAAAGGTTGAGCTTGTTGAGGCAGGAGCGAGCTCCTAGTCGTGTGATGCAACAAAAGGCAAAAAGCTTGCAGGTACGAAGCAAAGTGGAAAGAACTCTCTGCGGTTCTCTGCAGTTCCTGGCGTGGAATGTGATTTCGGACCAGCAACCACCAACATCTGTCTAGTAGCAACCGGCTGCTTTTTTCGTTTGCGATTCGGTTCAACCACCACCCCCCCCCACCCCCCTTTTCCAGGTTCCCCCAAAGCTGTCGACAAGAGAAAGAGTCCTCACCGCATGACTTCAATTGCGATCATCTCCTCCTCCTCTTGCTCCTCCGACTTCTTCTCCGCTTCTCTTCGCCAGCCCTCTCGTCACCACCTTCAGCCGGAGGGCATGCACCAGTGTCAACTGCCCGCTCCTCGAGGACTTCGCCTGCTCCCCCTCCATACCCCGAACCTCGGCGACCTGCGAGACCCCGACTACTCGGGTGGACTCTGAACACCACCGGCCGACGAGAACATGGGGACCACCTACGAGATGCCTCACTTGGCATCCTCCAAAAACCACATCCACCACCATTCGACCCACGCCCGACCACCAATGCCCCAGCAAGATCGCTACCGATCCGCCCTGAACGAGCGACCACCGCCGAACGAGCAAATATACAATTCCACCTCACGATGTTCTGCACCTGTCTATCAGCAGCCCCAGGTCCAACAAGCTCCGAGACCAAATCTGCCCTCCTCCTCTGCTGCTCCCGTCGCGGCCTTGCCGAGCTCAACGGTTGCCCCTAACCAACGACGAGGGTCAAACCGGCACTCTTCCCGACCATCATCGCCGCCATTGGACATGAGCCTGGTGTTTCACAGCATGGAAATTCCAGAATGCATCAGCCCGAGGGGTGGGAATCTGGGAGACTTGATGGCCGAGGTCGCGGCTCTCTTTTGGTTCGAGTCTCCGCAGACGTTTGAGACGGCTGAAAAAATACGGACCCTGCCACCAAACGCCGCCATTGCTCGATTGTCGGCCAACGCTGTGGCGACATCCGACTTCAAGAAATGGGTAATGAATATCGTGGACGCTACAAAGATCACCCAAAATGTGGCGCTGCTTGCGCTTCTCTACATCTATAGGCTCAAAATGGCCAACCCCAGCGTGAAGGGTCGACCGGGCAGCGAGTTCCGCTTGTTGACCGTCGCCCTGATGCTTGGGAACAAGTTTCTGGATGACAACACTTATACCAACAAGACATGGGCAGAGGTGTCAGGCATTGGGGTGAACGAGATTCACGTGATGGAGGTTGAGTTCTTGAGCAACATGAGATATAGTTTGCTGGTTTCTGCCGAGCAGTGGCGCGCATGGCTGGACAAGCTCGCCAACGTGTACGAGTACCTGGAAATCGCCAAACGATCACCCTCACCTTCGCCATCGCCGCTGTTGATGCCGTCGCCGAGCCATCGCGCTTTTGCCTCACCAATTCCATCTCCGATGAGCACCGCCGCGATGCAGCCGACCCCAGCCGGGCCCTTTTCTGGCGGAAACATACAGAACAGCAACAATCATGGGCCAGTGGGCTGGCCACACCCCTATTCATCCAACAGTGCCGTTTCGCCCCTTGCCTTGAAGCCAGAACAGCACCTTTTGAGGAAGCGCAGTTTTACCGAAGATGACCCGACCGAGCCCCCTGCGAAGCGTCTTGGCCGTACTGCCCCTGAACAACCCCAACCCATCCACCTGCCAGCCCACCACCTCCCATCGCAGGCACCACCGCTCCAAGGTCTACACGTTGCCTCGCACCCTCCTATCGGCTCTCAGCGACCCATCCACTCTGCTACCGGCCAGAGTCGGCCACTTCCATCCATGAGCTCAGATCAAGGGCGTGTTGCCGTGCCCAGTTTGGCACTGAACACAGGCCATGCTGGTCCCCTCGTGACAACCCAGTCGTTCACATCCTCGGCGGCATACGCACCGCCACAGGCTTCACCACTGTCACTGCCGCCGCTTGTGCCGGGTGTGCGTGCCATGGCTACCGTGTACCCCAATGCCACCACTTATGCGCCCCAGCAGTCTGTGCTGGTTACATCCGGGCCCAGTGTGAGCTCGGCGCCACAGTCGGTGACCACTCCGACAACAAGCTTCCCGCCCATGTCCTATGGCACGCCAACAAAGCGTCCATCTCCCCAGCACCACCTGGCTTCCAGCGCCAACATGGCCGGGTCTTCGCCACTCTCCGTCGACCCCTATGGTCATCATTCTGGGACACCCATGGGGAACGCTGGGGCCACCAGCGGACTGCACACGCCCATCTCACACTCGCCATCGGTTTATCTGCAGCAACGCGATAGTCCCTACAAGCCCGTGAGACAAGTCAACACGCTGCTCATTCCGCCCGCGTCTGCCTTCCTCCACCAGTACCATTTCCAGAACGCTGTTACGCCAAACCAGATGCACTATCAGCCGCTTGGAAGGAGGAACGAATACCGGACAGGCATTGTGCCAGAGTACACCATGGACAGACAGCACTCTTACCCTTCTTCGCAACAGGTGCTTCCCGATCCCGCACCGCATCGACCCCCTCACGTGCCGCCTGTCGGGCGCCCGGATTCATTCCGTTCGCACTACTAAATGTCTGGCCATCTTTTTATTCTGTGTTTTCTCGGCGTCTTTCCTTCACGCCACATTGTATTATTTACGCTTTTCCAGCTCTTCAGCTCTTGTCTTGTTGACACAGCATATGCATTATTCTGGGTGTTGGGGTCGGGACTTGTGCATTTTCGAGCAAGTCACTAGTATTGGTGGACAAGCTACCTATCGATACAATGGTCTTTTATTCTTGTGGCGTTTTGGGAGCAGGTATTCAGTGGGCAGTGTGTTTTTGTCTTTATGGTGACCCTTCTTTTTTTTTTTTTTTTTTTTTTTTTGGTTGGTTCGTCTTTTTTACCTTTTTGGAAGATGAACTTATAATACCCCCGGATAAAGATGGATCAGAAAGGAGTGGGAGCCATCATCAAGTAAATTGGATCACATGGGCGGTGGATTATGGAGAGCGTGGAAGGGATCGATCGCAAGGCTGTTTTTGAGCTCTTGTCTGTAACGATATTTGATGTGGCAAGCGATGCAGCGAGGAAGAAGCGATTGAAAATATACCAGTGGCCCCACGAGCGCTCTGATTTTAGAACGTCTTTTGCGATTTCTCCAACTGAGTAAAATGATGTGATTTGGATGGGGCACGATGAGGATGGTCATTTCATTGAAGAGGAGTTGAATTCACTTGACACAAGTAGTCACTACCATGTTCAACAACTTGCGACACAAAGCCTCGAATTATATTACCCTAAGACTACCACCTCGATGCCTATTTTTGATTCGACCTATTCCTCTCTTTCTCACGCTCTCCCTCTCTTTTCCATGATGTCTTCTTTCCCTTTCAGTGCCGTGCCGTGTTACCGTTCATGAAAGTCATCATTCTATCCATCTCCCTTGTCAATGCATGCAGGATGATGGATGCAGTCAAAGAATAACAAAAAAGGGGGTATTTTGTTTGTGCCATGCCATGAAAACATAAAGATGGTGTGTGAATGTGTGTTGCATATACATGTGTCGTGTGGGGTTTGTGTGGAGGGTAGGTAGCTGAATGTTCAAGCCGTGAGGTCATGTCTCTCAGGAACAATAGAGGGGGGAAGGGGCCCGGAGAACCGTTGGTATCTTTTCGTTTGCCAACTCCCAAAACTTCGAATATCCGATATCCAGTACTACAGATGTTCCGTTCCCGCGTTTCCAAGACAAAATGGACCTCACTGCCCCCGCCTCACCACCCCCGTCATGTCGAGCCTCACGGTGGGACGCTCGATTTCCAGACTCCGACTTGGAACCAAACGACCGCCCGGTGTTCTCGGATTGGCCACATTGACTCGTCCGCGGCGGTGGGCCCGGGCGACCTCATCGTCGTTGCTGTCAGAAGAGTCGTCATCGCCGGCTTCATGCGGCGGCCTAGGTGTCAGCCGTGCGCCCGAAAATGGGTCGACATCGATGGGTCCGATCGTATCATCGCTGTTCCGTCTCGAGCCCTCTTGTTCCAGGTCGTACGCAGCCAGACGTGCAAAGTAGTCGGCCATGCCGTCCACGCTCGGAGTTCCCACGATAATGTCGTAGTTGGGAGGTGGCGTCATGAGCTCCGCCGGCAGCGGTGGCGGCGGATCGTCTGCGTTGAAGGGAGGCGGATTGTATGAGGGGTGTCTCAGCAGGTGAATAGGCCGTGGCTCACGGTCCAGCGGACTTGGAAGACCCCGAGCACGGCTCAGCGAACTGCTGGCCCTGTGCACAGATCCGCCAGTTCGAGCGGCGGACTGTAGGTGGGCAGCCTGGGGCATGCTGGGCAGACCGCCGGCGCTGGTGTTGATGTTGGAGTCAATCCGCAGTCGGCTGTTGTTCAGGCTCGGGGCATCCTCTTCGATCATGGCGAGCGGCGTGGCCGCGTTGGATGAGTTGGGATCCAAAGGATGCGCGTCCGAACAACCGCACGACATCTGCTGTCGTTGCTCGGCAGGGCCGTCTCGCCCGCTGTACTGCGGGAGAGACGTGTTGGCTTGGGTTGCACGGCAGTTCAAGACAGTAAAGGGGCTATCAATGCTGATCTCGAAATGCCGCCGACGCTTTCCTGCGGGATCATCCGGGTCCAAGCGAGAGATGCGCATGACGATCTGGAGTTGTAGTTAGTATGAGGAGCATGATTGGTAAAAAACTTACTTGCCTTGATCCAATGGAAGACATTAACATTCTTCCAGCTGCAATCGGGATGCAAGCGAAGCGTTTTGTCGCGCGCCATCATGTCGCATGTTGGTAGCTGCACGTTCATCTCGATCTCGGTGCTTCCCCAGAAGCTCTCCAGACCAAGGTCTAGTTCACCCAACAAATTGTTGCTCGGATCAGGGAGTGGCCGCGGAGGACCGCCAGCCCTGGCAGCTTCTTGTAGCCGTCTTCGGATAGCCAGCATTCGCGCCTCGTCCCGTTGTTCAGCATCCAGCTCGCCACCGCTCAGAACACGGATGTCGCTGGCCTCGTATTGCTTGTCCAGGGGTTTGCCGGCCACCTTCTCCAGCAATAATATCTTCCTCCCCGAATCTTTGCGCGTAACATGGCGGTCGTTGGTCCAGTACTCGATGCTTTCTGTCACGAACACTTTAAGTTTGTGGACCTGAACTTTTGCCAAGGGCGTGAGCTTGAATGCAATGGGGATTTTGGCGCCGATGGGAAAGCTCTTCCCCGAGATCATGATGTCGTAATGCAGCTGATCTTCCCAGTGGCGGCTGATGGATATTGGCTCCGTCATCTCGAGAGACATCTGGTCGGGGAGACGGACAATCGACACCTCTTTGGAACCGTGCAGGTTCGGCTTGAACGCTCCAGCACGCTCCACCATGGTTTCCAGCTCCCACCGGACCGAGCCGTATTGGAGCTTTGTCGTCTCGAGTTGGTTGTGATCGATGGGCAACTCAAAGGCGTACTCGTATGTGCCGGGGCCAAAAATCTTGAACCCCTTTGCTTGGACCGGATTCGCAAATGGTGACTCGCCCTTTCCAAAACTTCGGGACTGCACAGACTGAAGGGAAAGGCGTTTCCTTTCCTTGGCTGTCAGCGTAGAAGAGTTTCTAGACTTTCCGAGAATATGAAGTGACGAATTGGAGTTGTTGTAGAGCGAGGACATGAGATTGTGATGTGTAGAGCTGGCTTTTGGCACAAATGTGCACTGGCTCCCATACTCCGTCTCCCACATGCCTTCATGCATGGCATGGAAGAATACAAGGGACTGGGTGCGGAGCGTCTGCTCTTCGAACAGGTCCGTTTTGGACGGCGGAATTCCCTCGGGCCACTCCGTTCTGGCCTTGCCCACCAGCTTCAGCGTGACCGACTTGATCTTGACATTCTTGGACACGTTCAACTGCAGCTTTCCACGAAGCAGTGCGCTTGATTGCTGCTGTCCTTGGCGCCTGGAGTGACTGTCATGTTCGAATCCCGTGAGAAAGACATTCGGCTCTGCTAATAATATCGAGCAGGTCAGCCCGCTCCCTGATGCTACAGGCTTCTGAATTTCGGACACCGATGAGCTCATCATGCTCTTGGCGGATCGTATCGACACCATGCTGGTCCTGTTGGATGCTTGAAATGCGTTCCCTCCGAAGGGATTCGGGGCAGTGGCGGTAGCCATGATGGGTTCCTCGACCGTTATCTCCTCCCCACCTGGTCGGCCTGTAGATACTGGAATATCGATCACGGGGTCTTCGACGTAGGATCCTTCGAATCGGGAAAGTCGCCGGGCGAAGCTTATAAAGCTCGACGGGCGGGACTGGGCCCTCGACGTAGGGGTTGCTGTAACTGTGGGCGTAGAGTTCGGCGAGTGGGAGAAGACTGCCTTTATCCTGTCCAACACCTTCCCGACCTTTTCAGCACCAGGTGGCAGTGATCGAAGAGACCGCCGCTTCTCTTTCTTTTCTGACCGCTCCTTTTCCAGCCTCCTCCGTTCCTTCTCGCCCTCCTTCTGAGCCTTCTTCTGCTCTCGGCTCAATTTCCTGGTGGTCTTCCTTGTGGACGTCTGACTCGACTTTGGCGGCCGCAAATCCGGGGGGATAAAACCAGGAGGGTACGAGATGATGTGAATCGAGTGAGGTCGACGCTGGCGAGGCTGTATCAGCGGCGTCGGGAAGCTAGCACTCTCGGTGCGGCGCCTGCGCTCAAGTGGGTGTCTCGGTGTGTAGTAGATGGATCCGTGTGCGGACGAGAAGTAGGGCTCGGGACGCAATCGATCGTGTTCGGTACCTGCAGCAGACATGGCGCCCGGGTTAGAAGTGAGCTCTCGTAGAAAAGGGCACGAAAAGGGCGGTGATAGCACCGGCAAGGCAAGCATGAGCACGAAGAGGGAACGGCATTGGTGGTAGGTGAACAGAAGGAAAACACACAGCATCCGACCATCAGGGGCATAGAGATGTCCCCAGCTCCGTCCAGGAGCCCCGGGGTCGGGGCCACGCTGTAGGCGGACAGAGGATGCTGCGACTGGCCGGCGCCAGCACGGAGGTGCTGGGAAGGACTACGGTCCAATGCGCCTGCAGCGGAACGAGGAGGGGAGGTACCCCAGTGGGGAGCATGGCGGCGTGGTGGAGCATTGTGACGGGTGTCTCGAGAAAGCGCCATGACAGACAGGCATGATGGTGGTGGTGGTGGTGGCCGGGAAGGTGTATGTCGAGACGGTCGAAGCAGCAGAGACAGCAGCAACAGCAACTACAGCGGCCGTCATGGATGATACCGAGTTGAAAACGGGGCAGACGGGGCAGGAGAGGCACACTATACCTCCTGTCGACCGTTCAGGGAAGTGGAAGCGGAAGTGGAAGTGGGCGTGGACGTGGACGTGGAAGGGAAGGGCGAGACATGACGGATGCGGAAGGGGGACCGTTGGGGAGCGTTGCTGGCCGAGAGCACCAGCACCAGCACGAGCACGTACCTGCAACTGAATCATAGCAGCCCCGTTATTATCATCTGCGTGGACTTTGGTGTCTCTGGCTTTGTGCTCGGCGCAAATTGGGACACGGGTTCTGGTACCACCGCAGGCAAGACAATAAGACAGCCGATCAGCTGGAAACCAAAGGGAGGGAGGGCGGCCTGGATGTCTTGGGGCTGCTCTTAAGAGGTTGACAACGGCAAAGAGTTTTTCCCTCGTCTGGGAGAACTGCGCGTGTTTGCACAGCAATGAGGTCCTTTTCTCGAGGGCGGCGTGGAGTGGCGGCCGAGGGAAGGGAAGGGGTATGTGTTAGGGTTCGCGTGCACGCCAACGGGGACGGTGGACGGGGCGATAGAGTAGCGTGGTGATTCGCAAGCGGTGGGACGAGGCGATCGAAGGGTTCAAAGCATGAACGGGTCGATGTTGGACGGATCCGTCACTGCGCGGGGTCCTCGTGGAATGCTGTGATGGGACTTCCTGGAAGTTGGTAGGTAGACGGGAAGTGTAAGGTAGGTAGGGAGGCAGGGAGGCAGGGAGGCAGGGTGGTAGGGTGGCTGGGTGGCAGGCAGGAATTAAAGTTGGGTATTGCACGTTGTAGCACACTAGTAGAAAAATACAAGAATAGAATTGGATTGCATCAAAAAGCCATGTGCTGTCCAAACTTGAACAGGATGGAGGGGAGCAGCCCAGTTGTGCTAGGCCCATGATGACCAGTCGAAAACTATGATGTATTTTCGACGGTGACGGTGGCACCCCTGCTCCTGGTTCGCTGAGACTCGGGCCCAAACCGGGACAGGCCCGGCGGACCAATCAGGAGGATGATCTCGTCCACCTCAGGACCCCCACTGCTCTCACAGACATTGAGCCGTTCCTCCAACATACAGAGTATATCGTCCATAACAATACACACTGACAACAACCGCACATGTGCTTATATATGGAAACAACCTAATGTGTGAGATCTGGGCCCCTCCACTGCCCGTGACGAAACAACTCCTGGGCTTTGACACCGGCCCAACCCAAGGCACAGCAACGAGCAGTTGTCCCATGCAAGCGGCCAAAGCTCCCGCGGGCATTTGCCATTGGCCACTCGCTGGCTGCACAAAGCAGGATTATGCGATTATACACATAGCACCTGCACCCAGTCCCGTCACAAGGCGACCCCGCGATTTCGCTTTGGTTCCTGTGCCCCCACCATCGCCTGTCTGACAGATGATTTCCGCCCGGGTGGAACTTAAGATCGAGTCCTGGATCTCCCTGCCTGAAGTTTGGGCTATCAATGAAAGATGGCTCATCTCTAACCGATATATATATATATAAATAAATTTACAGCTGCAGAAGCAATCTACAAAGAAGACAAACACCAAAGAATTGCGGTGCCGGCCGAATTTTCGGCTGTCGGCATCCCAACCCTGCTGCAAATCAGTTGACTGACGTCATCGGTCGGCGGGGTATCCGTAGGTTTGTCCTCTAAGATGCTCGGTGGCTCGCTGTTGTTGTCGGAGATAACTAGGCACTCAGAGATTTATTACTGGCATTTGTTGGCCACCGATCCAACGGCCAAGGACGCGGGACCTGGCGATCATTGGTGAACCCTGATCTGTATACTATCATTGATGTGGCTGCATATTCCCGTAGTCATCCGGCTTCTGTCCCATTATGGCTGTTTCAGATCATCAACAGGATTATGCCACGAGTCATTCATTAGTGATGGAAAAACCGGGCCGGTAAAACAACAAACTGCATTGCATCTTCATGCCGGGCCCTCCGCTTCCAATTAAGTGATTTTATCACCGGCCGGTCCTCCCGCTCCGGCGTACTGGACTTCTACTACTCAAAACGTAATTACGGCTCGGAACCTGACCGTCCCGCTTAGCATAGCATCTGGGCAAACGTTAGATACCCATCATGACAAGACACGGTTCCCTTGTGTGTCTGCGACAAGGGAAAACTCACCGAAAGCGTCGTTGGCCCTCTCCAATGGGAATTCTTCAATGAGACAGTCGATGTTTTGCAGCTGAGTGAAGGCAATTGCCTCCTCCGAGTCGATAGCATGGCCACACGGCCACGCCTGAACAGACAACCCATATCTCAGCTGAGTAGGTAGACAGGCATGAATTAGCAACTGGTTCAACACCAAACCTGCCAGGCAAGCAGAACAGTTCACTTACCATGACTCCAGTGTTGACGCTCACATCGCCCGGCACACTCAGGATCAACAGCTTGCCCAGCGGCCCCAAGCCCTGCATCAACCCAGACATTGTATTCGCGCTGGGGCTTGTAGTCACCACCAGCGAGGCGCCCCCGAGCCTCTTCAAACCTTCTCCGGCGTCGACTTTGGACGTGTCGATGTATTCATGTGCCCCCAGCTCGTGCGCAAAGCTCTCCTTGTCAGCGCCCCTGGAAATGGCCACCACGCGATATCCGAACTTGTTGGCGTATTGGATAGCTAGGTGACCGAGCCCGCCCAGCCCCTGGACAGCCACCGTCTCGCCAACACCAACGTTCATGTGCCGAATTGAGTTGAAGACGGTCATGCCGGCGCAGAGAATAGGCGCGTACTTGGCGGCTGACACTGTTTCGGGAATGGGGACACCCGCCTCGGAGCGCAGCAAGACATACTCGGCGTCTGGCATTGTCAGTACGTTGGATTCACTGCCCACGGACTCGGCCAGTAACGGACGGACTTACACCCTCCTTGTTTGGTTTCTCCGTTGACAACCTGGTTATCGCACATTTGGTGGTACCCCTTTTTGCAGGACCGACAGGTGCCTTTCAAATTGATTGTTGGTCAGCAATCTTGGCTGCTTGCTGCTATGTGAAGTGATGGGTCAGACAAACCATCGTGTCCACCATGCCATCCGCTTCCGATCCTATCGCCAACCTTCCAGGTGCTGACATTGGGTCCTACCGCTGCTACCCGACCAATGATCTCATGGCCGGGAACAATGGGACTATTAGTCTGTCAGCATCCAACGATATTGAACAGATTGCAGTCTGAGAGGGGAAAAGTCCTTACAATCCGCCACCCATGATGTTGTTTTGAGCAAACATATCAGAGAAGCATACTCCACAGGCTTCCACCTTGACCAAGACTTCTTTTGGTCCGGGTTGCCGAAGGGGCACTTCTTCTATCGTCAGGGGTGCACCGGCTGACCGGAAGACAGCTTGCTTGTATGTTTGGGGGAGTGACATCTTGGCTGAGAGTGTTGCGTACTTCGTTTCTCGAAGGGATGAGTGCTCAGAGAGAGAAATAGAGTAGACAACTAGTACGTATGCTTCAATTGCAGACACTTTGAAGAGAAAAGCAGTCCGTGGAAGGTGGCTAGAGGGTGTATTTAACTGTGATGGAAGGCCTGCTGCCAAAGCAAGCAAAAACACACGGGCTTAAGCCATCGGGTCTGAATTCAATCCGACTCCGTCTTATCGTGTCCCTGTCCAAGTCCACCCTCGGGTTTGGATACTCGGCTTTTGCCGTTCAGAAACATGTATCCTAAAAAGGTCGAGGGTGCATATCAAGGAGTTGCACACTGGCTTCGGCTTTGTTGCGAGCTATAAATCCGATCGTGCCTCTGATTGGCTGTGGTGATGGATATGGCAACAAAATGGGTAAAACCCTCTTGCGTACAAGCAAATTGGATGGAGCTGTACATAGGCAGCTCATTATGAATATCGAAAGATCCAGTCCGCCTTTTCGATTCCAAATCAACCCACATAGAGTGGCTGAGAGCAAAGAGTAACGCCATGACGTTGAACGTTGGGAGGGTTCATGATGCAACATTAGCTCAAGTTTTGTGGTAAGAATATAGCATGCGTTGCTGTGCTACCCTAGGCCATGGTCTAGGAACGGGGTGGCGTGTCCTTTACCAAAGCACCCATCGCCGCCGCAGGATATCTGGTGCCATACACTTCAGCTTTATCGATCGCCGCTCTCACCTCCATCTCCTCCTCCTTGGTAAGCGTCTCATAGACTGAATTGGCTCCCCAATTCTCCTCCAGATATGCAATCTTCTTTGTTCCCGGAATAGGGAAGACGAGGTCTTGCTTCATCATCCATGCCAGAGTCAGTTGACCGGGCGTACACCCCTTCTTGGCTGCAATCTGTTTGATCTTCTCCACCAACTCCATGTTCTTGGGGAAGTTCTCGGCCGAGAAGCGAGGAACTGCCCGGCGGAAGTCGCCCTGCTCAAAGTCGTCCGCCGAGGAATACTTACCCGTGAGCATGCCTCGGCCCAACGGAGAGTAGGCAACGATGGGGATCTTGAGGTCGCGGCAGGTTTTGGCTAGGTTGAGGTCGGGGAACTCAATATCTCTTGTGAAAGGGGAATATTCGATCTGGTAAGCCCTGATGGGATGAATCTTGCTTGCGCGGATGAGTGTGTCGGCACCGCATTCCGAGAGGCCAATGTGGCGGACTTGACCAGATCTTGGAGCTTGGTCAGCATTTCAAGCATCTTGTGAGACTGCTGGAAGTTGGGAGGAGGGCATACTCGACAAATTCCTTCATGGTCTCAATGACATCTTCGATCGGGGTTTTGCCGCTGATGCGGTGGCTGTTCATTTGTTAGATTGGGAAGTTCAATGTGCTAAAGGGGCCATACCAGTACAGCAGATCGATGTAGTCTGTCTTCAACTTTCTCAAGCTCGCCTTCACTGCTTCCCTGATGTACTCGGGCTCATTGCAGAATTCTCTCGTGCCATCCGGCAGCACTCTATTGCCGAACTTGGTGGCTAGGAAAATCTATTTCTCGTGATAAGCTGATGAGTCTGGATTAATCAAGGCTGTTGAGACAACAACACTTACGTCTTTTCTCTTCCCAGTCTTTTCAAACCATTTCCCAAGCAGGACCTCGCTGTCTCCATACAGAGCGGCCGAGTCCCAGTGTGTACATCCGATCGCATGAGCGCGGTCGAGAAAAGCGAGACGCTCATCGTCAGAAGGGGGGGTTCCATAGAATGCTGCATCACAGCTCAAGTCAATTCACACAGTTCAGGGGTAAACAGGGGGTGAGGTGACTTACAACTCAGGCCCATCAACCCTAACCCTAGAATTGGAATCTCTGGGCCACCAGGGCCCAAGGGACGGGTGGGAATGGTGGTGCTATTTCCGGACATGTTGGAAATGATAGCAGAAGAAGAGGTACTATTAGAAAGAGGTCGGTTTGCCTCTCATCACCACCTGGTACATATATTTTCCTCTCCTTGAGGTCATCGGCCTCGCGTTTGCAGTTCGCGATTATGGTGGAGTTTGTGGGGCTGGCCGATACAATAGCTGACGGAGAATGACTTCCGACTGTGAGCCAAGAAGTGCAGTCCATGTCGATCAATCTCAAGAAGCTCACAGTAAACAGCTCGGCTCGTCAACTATCTAACATAGTCCTGGCCTTTTACTGGCTATAGTACTAACTAAGCCCCTTCTTTAGAGAACCTATTTAAGTCAAACTCAATACTACCTACTCATTACCTTGTCATTACCACGAAGAGTCGACAACTGGGCTCACTAGTTTCCACGGTCCAGCCATGAGCATTTGCCTTACCACAACACCCGGAACCGCTCAAAACCTACAGGTCAGAGTCATTGGACCACTTCTTCCAGATCATGGATAAGAACAAATGGCTGGCGAGACCTGTGGTACCTGCCCGTTCATATTTTACATCCGGTTGTGTCCTTCCACTTCGGGCTCATACAGCAAGAAACGACGGAACCGTGAGTAATCCAGCCACTCTGGTCTCAGTTAGATCGCCCCTCAATGTCTGATGGAAAATGGTGACCAATCCTTTGTAAGTAAATACTAAGCGACATACGGTCCTTTGTCCGCGTGTTGGCTGCAGGTAGCGACAGTTGATTGCATGGCCGCTTATTAAGCGTAGAGGTTGGTCATGAGTGCCATGCCTTATGCATGAACGGAGTTAGGTAGACAAAGTGATATACAGTCAGCAAGACCTATTATCTAATACGGTTCAAGAGAAGGGTGCGGCGCAGTCAGCGTTCTGCAGTGAGGTGTCCAAAGGCTATAAGAGGAGGTCACCTCTTCCAAGCATCGTACTTCTCCAGGCAATATAGTGCTACAGTCTTATCCCTATTCTCGCCCGTTATCAATAAAACTACACGCTTTTCAATCTATCAAAATGTCCACCAAAAACATCATCACCGTCTTTGGTGCCACTGGCACCCAAGGTGGCTCTGTGGCAGACATTTTTCTTCAAGATCCGAAACTCAAGTCAAGCTGGAGTGTTAGGGCCGTCACTCGCGACACAACCAAGGAGTCAGCCAAAAAGCTTCAGCAGAAAGGTGCCGTAGTCGTTGCTGTAAGTCTCTTCCAACTGCTCTCATCTTCGCTCAGTAAGGTATCATAAAAGCTAATCTGGCCAGGCCGACCTTAATGATAAGTCCACTTTGATCAAAGCCATGGAGGGGGCCTCGGCTGTATACGCAGTCACCAACTACTGGGAGAAGTGTGACATGAAGCTGGAAATTCAGCAAGGAAAGAACCTTGTCGATGCTGCCAAAGAGACTGGCGTCCAGCATTTCATCTGGAGCTCGCTTCTCAACATCACGAAATGTGAGTTCCCAAACTGTCCTCTCTGAATCACGTGTGTAAGGTACCTAGCTTGAGCTAACCGGCCATGTTCTTGTAGTGAGTAATGGAAAGTTGCCGAATGTGTACCACTTTGACAGCAAGGCTCTGGTGGAGGATTACGCCCGTGAGGTTGGCCTCCCAGCCACCTTCTTTCTTGCAGGAGCCTACATGTCGAACCTTCCTGGTGGCATGTTCCGCCGCGATCCGCAGGCCGATAATGCCTGGATCTTGAGCCTGCCTGTTTCCGACCAAGCTGTTCAGCCCCTGTTCGACGCAGCCGCCGACACCGGGAAGTTCATCAAGGCAGCTGTACTGAATCGTGACAAGGTTCTCGGCAAGCGTCTCCTTGGTGCCACCAGCTATCTTACCAATGCCCAGATTGTCGAGGGCTTCAAGAAGGTCTTCCCCGAGGCGGGAAAGACAGCAAGCTACAAACAGATACCCGACAAGGCTTTTTACGAGGCTCTTACCAAGTACCAGGGTGCACCCGACTTTGTCGCACAAGAGATGCTGGAAAACATGCATTTGTTCGAGCAGTTTGGCTACTATGGTGGAGAAAGTCTTGACGAGACACATGCGCTTCTGGAGGACAAGTTGACGACTTGGGAGGAGTTTGTGGCAAAGACATCAAAGTGGGGAGAGGAGCTGAAGTGATGGTGTACATGATTCTGTGCGCGTCGTCCCTATCAGTGGCTGATTGAACCGTTCGGATCTCATAAGCATGCAGTTTCCCGACTGTGCCAATGGAGAAGGATTGTGTACTGGTGGGCTTGATGATAATTGGTTATCAGGTATTCAAGCTCGCAATGAAACGAACAGAAGCAAGCAGGTAAACAGCTTCCAACAAACCATAGCCACACCTCAAAGATAGTCTAACCACAAAGAGAAAATGCTACTGTCCTCTGGCTTCAACAACAATGTTGGTGTTGGTGGTGTGTATTGATTTATAAGCCATCGACCCACTTGATTTGTGAGAGATGATTTATCCCCGGCTCACCACTCACGTCCGACAGACTGAGCCAACACCTTATTACTTGTTTGACATGGCACTCAAGACCGAGATGGCGTTTTCAACGGCAAGGATAGCGATCGGTGGTGGGCAAGATGGTGTTACAGGTGAGCCCAGAAGTCTGGTCCGCGTGTTTGCAGAAGGAGCAACATCGAGAGCTGACATGCAACACGACGACTTTCCAGAAGTTGTCAGTTCCACTCCAGGCGCACAATCGGAGTGCCAACTACAACGATGTGTCTTTCCCAAATCCGACCGCACCATTCAGCTATCATGGCCCCGTCTAGGCGACAAAAGACGAGCCATGGTGGGTCAGTCTCCAACACCGCGGTCACGGTCTTCAACCGGCACGAGGAAGCAAGCACACAAGAATTCTCAAACTACAAGGATCGTTCATGTTTCCCAGAAAGATCTTGAACTGCACTACTACCTGAACGCCTCTGTGGGAAAAGGGCATTCTCAGCCAACCCTTGAGCCACCCCTCGCATGGAATCCATCTGTAATCAAGGCTCAAGACGAAGACCTCCTTCAGCATTTTCAAAAGTCGGCCTCAAAGTCGCTGGCAATATTTGGCCACGACAGCTTCGAGCTGGGGAACGCCCTCATTCGGATTGCCTTGGCAAATACTTCGGCATCAGCTACCGCAGTTCTCCAGTGCCTTCTTGCGTTTTCCGCCTTACATCGGGATGATGTCCATTCACAAGCGTTTGAGCTCAAAATCACGGCACTTCAGGCATTGGGGGCTGCATCGTCCATCACTCCTATTGGTGCAACCGACGCAATCCAACATGTGGCTGCAGGAATGCTCTTGTGTTCTTTTGAGGCGCACAAGTCCTCTTGCACTTCGGGTGAATGGATCATTTACCTGGAGAACGCTAAGAAGGTCATCCACACTGTCGGATTGGATAAGATAGAAGGAAACACAGACCTGGCTATGATTCTTGACTGGGTATACTACCATGATGTGCTGGCGCGTTTCAGTCTTCAACACTGGCAGAAACAGACTGCTGCAAGCACAGGATCGCAAAGATTTTTGACCAAGGTAAGATCAGGATGATATTTTCACGATGTAGCCACATACTCTAACAGCACACCACAGCCCTTCAATGTTCAGTCTTTGGCTACAGGTCTCATCAAGCTTCTATCTGAAGTCTGTGATGCATTTTCGGCACGCCCTGCGACTGCATTCAACGGGAAGAAGTCGTCCAAAGAGACGGAAGACTACAAAAACTTTCTCCAGATTCTTGATTGGAGAATTCGTAGTCTTCCCCTATCCACTCCAGGGACAACTGTTTCCAGTCCAGAAGAAAGGGACTCACTGCTACTCCTGGAACTCTACCGACTGGCACTCCTTATATATCTCAATCGAGCGTCCAACAACCTAATCAATCAGTCCTTCAGAACTGAAAAGCACATTGCCCAAGCCTTTTCAATTTTGCCCAAACTTAAGTCTTGTGATAGACAGTTCCCCGTCTTTATCCTCGGATGCGAGGCAAGAAACGACGAATACAGAGCAGTGATTCTTGACCTCATCGCAAGGGCGGAAAAGGAGGAATCGTCGAGGTCGTTCAATCACGTTAAGCTGCTTCTGCAAGCTGTCTGGGCGCAGGATGATTTGGCTGAGGGGGAGGTGGACTACTGGGAGAAAATCAGCCATGTCATCAGCTGCTGTCGGATAACACCTTCTTTTGTATAGATGCCTTGGCTGATTAGAGAGCATCAAGTATCTAATGCCCAATTATGTAGACATCTACCTACCTGTTCAAGTGTGTTCGTGGTGAGAAACCAAGACTCCTGCCGCCAAGGTGGTACTCGGCAATCCAGCCCGAAGTCAAGAACGCCTAGGTGAATATAACCGGTAAGCATGTGGCTGTGCTGTAGGAATTAACTACCAACAACACGCCATGACGTGTCGAAGGATTTCGCTTGTTGTCGACCCATCCTCGTGTTATGTGGTTCTCTGTAGATCGCACGACCGCAGTTGGCTGAGTAGAGGTTTGTGTAACAATGAGAATCAACATAAAAGAGCCCCAAGCATATCTGCCAGCAACTCTTGAAACATATCCGGCTGTTACTTACCCTTGTTGACATTGCGCCATGAAGTTCACTTGTCTTGGAGTGGCATCGGTTGCCTCGCTGGTTGTCTTTCCGTTCCAAGCCTCCGCCCACCCCCTCGATGTCCACAACGCGCAAGTCTCTCGCGGATGGACAGGTGTAAAGGAGCCATGCAAAGAGATCCAGGAAAATGTCGCAAAGTGGATGATAGACAATGATATCGGTCAGTGCCATATTTTCCACCTTGTCTCAATACAGTTGAATGTATCATTGACACTGGGTACTTGGCCTTAGTTCCTAAAAACCTAGACGGGGTTTTCCGACTGCTTCAACCACCCGTCCCGCCTTCTCCTATACGGCCATCTCTTGCCTTTGCGTGCCTTAAATCTATCCCTCTTTATGCAGATGTGGCAAAGAGCCATGTTGACTATCTTGCTCCTCTCGTCGAATGGCAAAGCACAGTGGACTACTTGCGTAATCCCCCCAAGGTGAGAAACAAAAATGCATTTCGACGTTGTGCCCAACATTAGGGAATCCTAGGAACTTCTGGGATGCTACTGGAAGTAATTTATGCTGAAAAAACATGTTGTAGGGCTATCTATCCGAGGCTGTTGACTTGACTCAAGGACTCAAGGACATCTCGGCAAATCTTCAAGGTAAAAAGCAAATATATTCCAACATGTTCGACTTTTTAGCGGATCTGCATACTCTCCTTAGCACCCGTGTTAGGGATGGCCACTTTAGCGCCAGGTCATTGCTGTTGGAGTTGTTTACGTTTGAGAGATCTGTCCAGTTCGTTTCGATATCTCAGGATGGTCTCGAACTACCAAGCATATATCTCCGTGGTAATGGATTTCTGTTTTATATCCCGAGTTTTGATAAACAGACAGTTGCTAACAGTATTCCTTGTCTGGAGACGACATCAAGCACACCGGTGATGGGTATACTCCTTCTCCAGTCGTATCTATCAACGGCGTCCCCGCTATCGACTTCTTCCTCAAATCATCCATCCAAAGCAGTGGCAGCCACGATCCGGATGCTCGGTTCAACACTTTGTTCCCAAGTGTTTCCAAAGACGCCAATTTGAACCACATAGAGAACAATGATATCTACATTCTCGGTCTTGAAGATGCCACAAATGTAAAGCTCCAGAATGACACCGTTCTTCGCTTTGACAACACAGCTCATGTGCGCGCAAATTTCTCCGATATCGATTCTGGAACAAGTTTATACAACGCCTACGGCCAGGGGAATGGGACGACTCCCAGCACTTGGGCGCAGATAGCCTACGACTGGGCGGACAAGAATTGGACTGCTCCCCGTAATGGGTTTCCGACCCCCTTCAGCACAACACCAAGCGAGTCGTTGCGGACATTCTTGCTGCCAGAAGTTGCTTTTGAGGATACTGCAGTGCTTGCCCTCAACAGCTTTGTGGAAACGCAGAGCCCTTACGACCCTTTGGCCTTGCTCTCCTTCCCTGCAAGGGTCAATAACGCTACCAAAGACTTTATCACGGCAGCCAGAGCTTCGAATCGTACAAAGCTCATTCTGGACCTGCAGGGAAATGGCGGTGGGCTCACCGACTACATTACCATCGTCTACCTTCATCTCTTTCCTGTCTCCAACCCAGCCGCGCCATACAACTGGCCCCTCTTGCATCAAGTTCGAGCCCACCCTCAACTCCAGTGGATAGGGACCGAGCTCGAAAAGCTTCAGTCCAATAATACTGCACTCACCGCACCTCTCCGCAGCCTCTTGAACCTATACCTGACGCCCAATGGCACTCGATGGTCCTCCTTCCAAGAGTTCTTCGGCCCGGTTGTCGACTCAAAAGGTAACAGCTTCACCAACCACTCTCTTATCAACGTAACCATCAACGCGTTTGAGTCCTTTCCCTTCCCACCCGTCTCCCCTGCGCCGCCCTTCCGTCCCGAGGACATGGTCATCGTCACAGACGGCGAGTGCGCATCTGCCTGCGCCATCTTCACCTCGATCCTCGCACACATCCACGGCGTCAAAACCATCGCCCTCGGCGGCCGTCCTCTGAACCAGCCCATGCAGGCCATCGGTCAAGTCAAAGGCGGACCGGTGTACAGCTTCCAAGACTTCGTCAGTCCCGACCCGAGAAACGCCTCCACCCCTCTGCCTCCTGGAGTCAAGCTTCCGGTCAACGGAAAGCCGCCTCTCCGGATTCCGGTCGGTCTCCCGACTGCGGCGAGAGACACTGGCGGGGCGAACGTGGGGTACAATCTGGGGAACATGTTCCCGTATGATCTCGAGAAGGGGGAGGTTATTGGGGACAAGGAGGTGCCGCTGCAGATGAGGTATCAGGCGGCGCATTGCAGGCTGTTTTTTACGTGGGAGATGGCGAGAAACATCACTGCCATTTGGAGAGCTGCGAGGGAAGTTGCTTGGGGGGATGGAAAGTGCGTGAGAGGAAGCAGCACGGGGCGAGATGGAAGGATTGGAAATACAACCTTGCCGTATAGCAAGGCGGTGGAAGACAAGTACAAGTTGGGGAAGGGGCCGGGAAGTGTAAAGAGATAGAAAGTAATGATATTGACACTCGGCTGCAAACAGGCCTCCCTGTCTGAATGTGTCTATTGCAGAATTACAAAGTGTTCTCAAAGGAGTGTGAAGTCGATACCTTCGAAGTCACCCCAACACAGCTGTCGGTAAAGTACTTGCCAGCTGCTGCCAGGCTTTCAAGCTGCCAGCGGTGGAAGGTGGGGTGGCTGCAGCCAATGGCGTGGAGGGGCTTGGATGCCGGGATATTTCGAATTGGAAACCGCCGACCAATTTTTGAGAGAGCGCAGAGCGATCACGACAGCCCACCGCCGCGATGCCCCCCAGATTACCGTTTGCGCAGGCGGCGCAATGCTGCAGAAGGGCCCTCGAGGTGGCGCCAAAGCAGCCATCTCTCGTCTCCCTCTTCGCCGCGCTGTCTGTGCAGACCAGGAGCGCCTCGATTCTCGCCAGCCTCTCTGACAACAAGGGTGCCTACCACAAGCGCATCCGCAGAGGTCGTGGTGCCTCGTCCGGCTATGGCAAGACGGCCGGTCGTGGTATGAAGGGTACAAAGGCCCGCAACAAGGTCAACCCGTGGTTTCAGGGTGGTCAGACTCCCCTCATCTTCAAGCATGGTCAGAAGGGCTTTGTCAACCAGTAGGTATCTCTGCAACATCTGGAGGCACTGGGCTAACATACCATGCTTCAGTCGCGCGCCGGTAATGGCCGAACTTAACCTCGACCGACTGCAATGCTGGATCGACGCTGGCCGCCTGGATCCCACCAAGACGATTACCCCCCGCGAACTTGTGAGGTCTGGACTGGTTGGAATCAAGGATGGGATCAAGCTTCTCGCCCGTGGAAAGAACGAGATCAGGACACCGATCGACATTGTCGTCTCCCGAGCATCGGCCTCTGCCATCCTGGCTGTCGAGGCCGCTGGCGGCAAGATCACGACGAGATACTACACAAAGGCGGCCATCAAGAACCTGGTTGCCGGAAAGAGCGTCCACACCGACAAGCCCCTTCCGGTCGGACCCGAGCATGTCGAAAGTGTGTTGCAGCAGGCGAGGACGAGCAGAAAGCACTTTTACCGGTTGCCAGACCCGACGAGCAGATGGGATATCGAGTATTACCGGGATCCTGCACACAGAGGGTACCTGAGCCACACGTTGAAGACCGGCGAGTCGCCCAGTTTGTACTTCAAGGTGCCTGGGGAGAAGGCTCTTGTGGGCAAGAAGTCGAAGAAGTCGGCCGACGCGAGCGAGGAGAGGCTCTTTTAGAATCCAAACCAGGGCCAATTGGGGCGGTGTATTTTATAATGACAAAAATGTACTGTATGATGCCCGTGTTGTGAAGCATTTATTCTACGCAAGTGCCTTTAATGTTGATTTCCATGCTGGGCTGTTCCATGTGGCTGATGCGCCAGTTTGTGGCGTAGTCTGCAACGGTTTCTCCCAAGGCTAAGCACAAGTCAAGCACAAGCTATCCCTGTCCGGCCACGCTCCGTGTGCAGCAGCAGCAGCAGCAGCAGCAGCAGGAACTGGTTTCGTCACAGTCGGTCCAGCCGCCAGCGCCCCCGTCCAGGAAACATCGAGTCCTCCAACATCTCCAACATCCCTCGCCATCGTGAAGAAACAAAACACCCCATTTAGCATCGTTGCAACATCGCTGGCACTCCAAGGACCTTTCTATCCAATGCATTTATGATATTTGCAGCGCATCGCGACAGCTGCTTTCAGGAATCACCATTGGTCTCTGGCCATCAATCACGTCGCACATAGTCTTGCCTTCTCTTCAACCTGCTTTTCAATCTGATACCTACCTATCTACCCCATTGTCCTTGTTGCCATGTCTCTTTTTGGAAGCTCTCTGCCAGAAGCTGCCTCGTCAGGCACCGGGCCCAGCCATGTCGCAAACAGCAAATCATCGCTCTTTGAGGACGAGTCGCCCATGACTAAATCAACATCAACGGCTCTCTTCGCAGACGATGATGCTGGGTCGGACTCGTCGCCGTGGGACCTGCCGACGCCCCGCAAGCACCACACTCGTGCCGATCTGATCCGCAACCTGCTGGCTTCGTCGGATGTGCCCGACAGCTACGTCGAGGTGTTCGACGCCGTGTCCCGCGAGGATGGCAGCGGAGGCCGCATCACGTCTGGTGGCGTCGCGAGAACATTAGCGGCTGCTAAGCTAGGTGCAGATGCCCAGGCACGCATAATGGGGATTGTGGTTCCTCCCGGCGGCGGCAGCGAGGGCATCTCGCTGGAACGGGGCGAGTTCAATGTTCTGCTGGCCTTGATTGGTCTGGCCCAGGAAGGCGAGACGGTTAGCCTGGATGGTGTGGATGAGCGCCGCCGAAGTGAGTGATGGGTTGCCCCGCCTCTCCACATCATTGTTGTCTTTCGGCTTTCCACTACAGTGTCTCTTCGCCTGTTGCATCACCTTATCTTATCGCCAGCATCCCACGAGCTGTCAACCACCTCGATTGATTTCCCTCCCGCTGCATCCTTGCGCTTATCCAAGCTAACCTTGTTGCGTCAACTCCCCAGGTCTACCCCAGCCCAAGCTCCACGGCCTCGTCGACACCACACCAGCCCTGCCCCATCTTGCCGAACTGGGTGCCAAACCGCCTCAGCGACCAGTGTCACCACCTCCTCCTGCGTCGGCCCACAAGCCGCTTCCTTCGCCCCGCCAGCATCGCACCATTAGGAAGGCGTCCATGGACTACCCAGAAGATCCGTGGAACACGCCCGACGTGCACAAGAACCATAACCACGCCCCCGAACCCCCGCGATCCAACGGCAGCGATGTCCCCGGTACGGCACCCGTTGAGAACGGGAGCGGCTTGTTCAGCACGAGCCCACAGGCTACGATGCCGGGCCGCACAACGTCTACCTTCACCACCAGTGCACCTCCGTCCGCTTCGGGACCAGTAGGAGAGTCGGCAGGCACCTGGGGATTTTTTGATGGGAACCCGTCATCGGCCGGTGGTTTCAGCAGTCAGGGTGCCATTCCCACTGTTCCCTTTGCCGTCAACGAAGGGGCGCGTGAGCCTGCGATTGTTCAGCCCGTGGGCCCGACTCCTAGCAGGACCATTGGAGGCGGGCGAGCAGGCTCAGCTGTGGAAGAAAACATACTGGTTACCTTGATGCCCGAGAAGGAGGGCATGTTTCTGTTTCAGCACCACAACTACGAGGTATCCAGCACAAGACGAACCAGCAAGGTGATTCGACGGTATAGCGATTTTGTGTGGTTGTTGGACTGTCTGCACAAGCGATATCCCTTCCGAGTGCTGCCGCTTTTACCTCCGAAGCGGGTTGCAGGTGCGAACACCGTGATCATTTTGTGATTGCGACAGCGAAGGATGCTAATAGGATGTAGTCAACGGAAACCATCTGTCCAACGACGGGGCCTTTATTGAGAAGAGACGCCGCGGTCTGGCTAGGTTCCTCAACGCGCTTGTTCGGCATCCAGTCCTGAGCCAGGAGCAGATGGTCATCATGTTCTTAACCGTCCCCACCGTGAGTAACATCCCGGCCTTCTTTGTGACTGATGTCGAAGCTGACCCAAGGAGCACCAGGAACTGTCGGTTTGGCGGAAGCAAGCTACGATCTCCATACAGGATGAGTTTGCCGGCCGCGCTTTGCCTCCAGGGCTCGAAGATTCCCTCCCACAGACGCTGGAGGAACTCTTTAGTCGCACTCGTGCTGGCGTAAAACGGAGCGCTGAATTATACATTACGGTTTGCAACATCATGGACCGGCTTGTCAAGCGCTCTGAGGGCGTCGCCGCTGACCATGCCCGGGTTGCGCTGACCCTCACGTCCTTGACCGAGGCCAGTGCCGACACATATGCCACCGACACCAACGAAATTCCCCTGCTGAATGACGGCCTCCAAGCAATGAGTCGTCATCTGCGCACGGCCCAGGGTTTGCTGGAGGACGAAGCTCGTGCGTGGGACGAAGGTGTGTTGGAGGACCTCAAGCGCCAGAGAGACGCGCTGGTCAGTTTGCGAGATCTTTTTGATCGTAGGGAAAGACTCGACAAGGACAATATCCCTCAGCTGGAGCGCCGCATTGCCACAAACGAGACACGGCTTGCTGCTCTGCGCACCAAGCCAGAAGGGATGGTCAAGCCGGGCGAGATGGAAAAGGTGGTGGAAGCCATCATCAAGGTTCGTTCGAGGTTCGCTTGCAGTGGAAGACCCAGAACTTGGGAACTAACCAAAGGGCCACTCTAGGACAAGGAGTCGATCGTCAACCAGCACAATCGGTCCGTTTTTGTGAAGGAATGCATCCGCGACGAGTTGCTCTTTTTCCAGCAAACCCAGTACAACGTCTCGCGGTGGAACCAAGATTGGGCTCAGGAGCGCGTCAAGTACTCGGAGATGCTGGCAGACAACTGGCGCCGGCTTATTGATGAACTTGAGGGCATGCCACTCGGCGATTAGAGGGCTTGCCGAGACATGCGCTCGCTCCAGCGGAGTCGGGCGATGCGTGGTGAAAGGCGCGGCGAGAGGCTAGTGAGTCCGAAGACGCTTCAGATACCACCAGATCTGAATGTTGTATCGGACAGCGATGCTCGGAGGGAGAGCAGCCACAACACGATTGGCTCGATTGGATTTACTTGGCTGTCCCAGGCCAACCGTGATAAGGGTACGGAAGACGTAGGCACAACACGCCAAGCTACAACGATTGGAGGAGTTCTGTGACGGGCAGCAGGATCAACACTTGAGACTGAGAGCATGAAAGCCAGCGAGGATTGGGCATGAAAGTATAGACTAGGTGCAGTGTTGGCTGAAGCGGCGGTTTTGCTTTCGTCGTTTCTGGCGCTGTTCACATCATTCATGGGCGGAGTTCATTTTATGTCGACTTGGGATGAACGGAAGGCTGTATATATGAATACCTCTGTTTTGCTTTTTTTTGCTTTTTTTGTTTTTTGGCAGGGACGCCGCCCAGTGTTGCGATACCCCTTTACTTATCAAATCATTCTCACACTTGCACTGACACAGACGAGATTGACCAGAACCAGGTAGATGTTTCGTTCTTAATAATGCTCACGGCAAAAAAGATGAAATATATCGGCCGAGACTATGCCACCAAGGCCGTAAATGTCACAGTAAAATGCATCGGCAGCTCCACGCCGGGCACCGTGACAGCTGCGCTAGTGGTCTGCCCGAGATGCGGTGAATGGGCCTACCAGAAACAGCCCCCCCGGACGGACGCCAAGATTCCCGCCATACGGCGGCGATAGCGATAGCTGCTTAGCGATGGTCGATGCCTTACCTCAGATCCACACCCCGAGCTCAAGGGACGGGACGGAACCTGAAGGGGTCCCCGCCATGACGTCCATTTTTCAGCCTTGCCAGCCCAAGGCGCCGCATTCCGGTCTGACGCTTTTTGAAAGCTCAACACCCATCCATCCATCCATCCATCCCATCCATTTCTTTCTCGCCGTGTGAGCCACCTCAGTAGGTTTATATAGCAGTGCCCCTCCCCAACTGTTGCTTCGACACCTCCGTACTGCCCTGTCCGCCACAAGCGAATACACCTCTCTGTCGCTGTCTACTACCCCGCGATTCGGATCTCAGACCCGAACAGGCGTTTAGGCCCTTTTCGACATCCCCCCCTTTCGCTTGGCGACCGAATCCGACCACCAGTCTTCCCCTCTTCTGCCTGCACCGAACGAAAAAAGACACGACTTGATCGCCTCGGCAGTCGACATCTAGGGCTTGTTTTTTGACTTCCCACTGCTCTATCCGCCCCAGTAACGATAACGGACGCCGCCGTGCCATCCATCCATCCAGCCATTCCCAGCCAACCCCTCCCGTTTGCGAAGAGACCTGGGCTACTGCCGCCTGTGCGATACCGTGCGGATTGCTTCTTGTCCTGCCCTCGTGTTGGACAAGACCTTGGAGGACGTCGAGCGTGCAGGGCAACATCCGACAGACAGTCAGTCACCGTCTTACGGCCGCGGACTGGGCTTTATTATTTGGGTTCTGTGCCAGCAGCCATGCCGTCCACAACCACACAGCGGCGCCTGGCATCGCAGTTTGTCGAGGCCACAAATGCGTCTCGTGAAAATGCGCAGCTGGTGGGTTTAACTCTCTCTCTTCCATCCCTCCCTCCCTCTCTCTCTCTTTCTCGTCCCGTCATACCGTATGGCCGAAAAGACCCCCTTCTTTCGGGCCGATATCAACTATTATGGACCTCTATCCTTGCTCCCGCATGACCCGCGCGCTGACACCTGGATGAATGCGACAGTACCTGAAGAATTCCAACTACGATCTCAATGCCGCTGTGAACAGGTCAGTTTCATTTCCATTTACGCATATTCGTATTAGTCTCCTGCTGTTCCCCTTGCACTTTGTCACCGCGCCGGCACTGTCCAAGTTGGTTGCCCTTGCCATGGCGGTCCCCCCCCCCCCACCCCCGCTGGGTTCCCTGCTTGAAGCGGCTCCCATCCCGGAGACGGGAAAATGGTCATGTCGTCGGGTTGGCGATGGATAAGGAGGCTCGTCCGGCCTCCACTCTCCACGAGATAGACGGCCAAACGCTGGGTTTAGGGGGGGTGGCCGGCCGTGGAAGTGTTCTGGAAGAAGAGATCGGCATTGCGACACCATGTCTCATATAAGCTCTCGCAACTAGACAAAACACTTGCCATCCCACTTTCATTTGTGCAACTGTTCCTTTTTCCCGGCTGTTTTTCTTTTGGGGACACTTCTCTTCTCGTTTCTTTTTTCATTCTTCTCCTTTGCGACGCTTGACCGTCGGCATTACTTTGACTTTTGGCGCATTCAAGCCATTATGAGGGCGTTGCCCTCTGGCTTATTGAAGGTTTCCAGTGGAACCCACCTCAGTCTGATCTTGGGAGACGCTCTGAGCAGTTGAGCATCTGAGCATCCGGGCATTTGAGCAAATCAAGCATCGAATGCAAAAAACAAGTTCTTGCACCTGCCCATCCAATTCCTAGGACCTGATTCTTCCTCACAATGGGCACTAGCCGCAGGCACGAAGGCAACAGCGGGCGCAGTGTGCTCCGCACCCTGTTTGCCTCGTGCTTTCACAAACGACCAGGGCAACCTCCACCAAAGGCGCCGCCTAGTGAGGGAGCGACCGAGACTGACAGCGGCGACTCATCACTGCATTCTCTCCCGGTCCCTACTATTGATTCCAATCCAAAACCTGCACCACAGCTCTCCATTAGAGAAGCCCCACCCAACACCACCATCAAGCCTCCAGACATCATCATGCCCAAGGCACCGAAAAAGTCAAAGTCTGCCACCAAGAAGGCCGCCCCCGATCTGTCGGCCAAGGGGGCAAAGTCCAAGTCGAAAGACAGGTCGCCACTCAAGTTCGTTTTGTTTATGCAGCGCAGTCCGCACATGCACTCTTGAATAGAACCGCTGACCTCGAATCTTTCTGCTCTAGATACTTTTCTGCCCATGATGGAGCTTCGAGTGCGAAGCAGCAGGAGGCAGACGCGCGAAAGAAGCAGTTAGAAGCCATCTTTGATAATTTCGAGACTGGTAAGTTTATGCTCGGCAAGGGAACCCCCCAGGTCAATTCTGACATCCAAACTAGACGAGGACAAGAATGACAACCACGATAGCGGGGACCCGGCCCTGGGGGCAGATTCATCCATGCGCTACCTCGAGGCTGTGGGCGCCAACCCTGCCGATTACAGCCTGCTTGTGGTGTGTGAAATCGTCAAGGCCACGACCATTGGAGAAATCACCAAGGAAGGCTTTGTGGAGGGCTGGAGCGAGGTCATCCAAACTCTCGACGCCAGCGTCAAACCCGACCTGGCAACCCAAAAACGCTATGTCCAATCTCGGATGAAGCAGGTCTCCCACGACCCAGCCTATTACAAGAAGCTGTACCAGTACGCCTTTGTTGTTGGGAAAACTAACAAGGCCATGGCCATGGACACGGCTTGCGCTATGTGGGAGATGCTTTTCGACGCCGGCATTGGGCACGAGTGGAAGACTGCCAATGTCAACTGGTTGGAGTCGTGGTCAGAGTACCTGCAGGAGAAGTTTTACGTTCCGCCACCAAATCCCGACGCGGCCGAAGAAGGAAAGTGGACACGCACCGTGAGCAAGGACTTGTGGAACCAGACATTGGTGTTCGTCAACAAGACGCTCGAGGATGAGTCCCTTGGTTTCTGGTCCGAGGAGCAAGCTTGGCCAGGCATCATCGACGACTTTGTGGTCTGGTGCCGGGAGAAGGGGATTGTGGCTCCCAAGGCCAAGGACGACATGGACGTGGACGAGTAGAGAAGGCGCTTGTTCAAATACTGTCACTGGGTTTGGAGGGTTCGTACCAGGACTTGCCATGGAGGGTCGTATTCCTCATGCGGAACCGGAGGGGCGGGCATACGGGGGATTTGCATAGGGCGTGGTGCTTCTGGGATGGGTACACGGGCTGAAGCATTTGTCATGGCGTTATATCTGCAGGCTGGTAAAGGGGAAAGCATGAAGCACCACAATAGACTAAACCAAAAGAAGCGTTCTGCGTGTTTAATGGGCTACTTGTTGGGTACAAGGCTTATTCTGGAGGCTGGTCTACTACAGCATATGCCTCTGCAACAAGACCGAGTCCTGCGAAAATAGTATGCAAAATGTCAACTCGTCATCTTTAGTAGCCGAATACTGGCGCCCCTCTGGTTTGAGATGCCGCAACTGCCTGCTGCTCTTAAAGTTCCGGACGTCCTCTGTTAGAAACCGTGATGCATAGATGCTCACCTGCAAGACTTCAGCATGGCCATGTCATATCCTTGGAAATGGTAGCCTCTTCTTCCATATTTCCCTTGCCAATCCATATACAATACATATCATACAGAAACTCTTATCTCTGAAATCGCCTCCTTTCCCTTGTAAGCCCCTCACGTTCATTGTTTATCCCTGGGTATCCCGTTTCTATTTTTCGTTTTTCTTTCTTTCTTTTTTTTCTTTTTCTTTTCCGCTACCGCATCTCTTACACTTCCCCCTCCAGCTTATCCCACCGAATCTCGCCAAACTTGCTCAGCGTCTCGAGCTTGCCGTTGCCGAGCTTGACGTTGGCGGACCGGATGACGCGCACGTCGAGGGCGAGCGTCTTGCGGACCTGCTCGTTGGCCTTGATGCCGCAGTCGTAGCGCATGATGAAGTAGTGGCCCTTTGTGTGGCGCTGCTGGCCGCGGGAGATGGCCTGGGGGAGGGAGAAGGTGCCCCAGTTACGGATGTCGCGGATGACACCCCCCTGCTGGAGGATGATCTTGCCGGCCGTGAGGACCAGCTCTTTTACTTCGGGGAGGTGCCCGGAGCGGACCTGGAAAAACAAGAAGGAGCTTTTTGTTAGAAATCGGGTGGTTTGCTGGTTTTGTTTCGTTTGAAAGAGGGCTCGGCGAGGGGGGACATACAATGCCGATTGTCTCGTACAACATGGTTTCTCTCTTCTTTCCTCTGTCGTCGTCGCTCGGTTTGTCTTTCGTGGGGGAAGGATGGTTGGCGGCGCGGGGTTGATCGACAACCTATTGCTCGCTCGTCGTCGCAGGTTGTTGGAGGGCGTGATATCAAGGGTGGCGCTGGCGACAGGTAGAATCAATGGCTGCTGCTGCGCTGGGAATGAGGTGTGGGACGGCAGCTTCAACTATCACGGTTGCGACTCCCCGGCGGTGGTTCTTGGGCTGCCCACACACTCCGCTATGAGCTCTGCCTCTGCTCCGGGAAATTTTGACGGCAAGTTCCGATTGTGGGCTTCCTGCCGCATGGCATTCCTTGGCGCAAGGCAAGGCTACACAGCCCCGTGGAGAAGGCTGCCAAAACTTGATGTCTTATAAAACGGAATTTTCTTTGGTGTGAGCTCCCAAGACTTCTTCAAATCGAAACGGCTTAAATCAAGCATTCATACCACATCACCAACTCACCATCCCGCCAAAGTTTCAGGGTTATTCAGGTCAACAATCATGGTCGTGTCAATAGATGCCAGATGACTCACAAGCAACCACATCAAAGCCGCTCTAGAAAGTAGCACTACCAACTTCATTAAAGATAAAAACTTCCAAAACCATCGGATCCGCATTTGCTCTCACAATCTCCGCACTCATTCCCATTGTATTGTACAAGTATTCGAAACCTATACCACCACAGACTCCATAAAGCAGTTCCCACTTTTTGTTGCTAGCCGCACCTCTTTCCTTCCACAGTCCACTCCAACAAAAGAAACGGCGCCTCGAGACTCCCGAAGCTTGCTACAACTTATATACGCAAAGAAACGAAACGGGCCAACATTACGAAGAGCAAACAGAAAGCAAACCAAGGAAACGTTGCCAGTAGGTAACTTGTGTATCCCACAACCCCTCACTCTGCTCGGTAAACTCGAACACGTTTTTGTTGGTCCCCTCTGGCGAACCAGCTTGTCTCACAGGCAGCAGCTCTGTGGTACAACTTGTCCTCCAGATCTGGGGCTTTCAAAAGGAGAAGCCAGACTCCCCCCAAATGTGCTGGGAACATGGTATGAAGAGACTCGTCCACCAGTGAGAATGCTAGTCCGAATCGCGGTCTTGGCCGGGCATGTCAAAGGCTGGCTTCAAGTTCTCCCACGCACCGTCGACATATTCCCTACCCAACACCTGTCAGTATTGGTTATGCGCCAAAGATAAAAGAAACACCAGCGCACTCACTTATTACTCCTCACGATCCTCACCCCCCTCTGGTGCATAAACTCCAAAAATCTCTTCTTTGTCCGATCACGCTTGAACTCGGCGAGCATGTCTCCCTTTTTGGGTTGCAGATGCGCCTTGCGCCGAATGATCACCCTGTGGCTGCCTGGGCCGTAGACAATCTCCTCGCAGTCCACAGTCCGGAGATGGAAGTTGTACGGCTCCTTGAACACGGCCCACTTGGGGGGGCGGAGCTGTTTGAGCACTTGGTGTTCGCAGTAGCCGGGGTGCGCGTCGTCCACCCAGTGCCAGTACTGAGTCACCCCCGGATTCGTCGATACCTCGGCCGTCTTGATTTGATTCACCCGCCAGTCAATCTGCTCGAGCCGGTCATCGGAGCAAGAGTCTACATCGGTGAATCCGTGGTAGTAGAGGTCTGGCGTGTTGCTTGGATCTACAGTGGACGTAACGCGGATCTTTTTCTTTGCCTGCGGCGGCGGCGGGGTGGCATGGGCTGCCCGGATCAGAGGCATGCCCTCGTCGTCCGAGTCGGCTATAGGAGCAGAAGGGGGGTTCCCAGATCGCGAACGTGGCCTTGGTTTGTGATCAAGTCCTGCTGGCTTTCGAGGGGATGAACGTGGGCGAGGCTCCGGCTGCTGCGGCTGAAGTTGCTGCGGTTCAGGTTCGGGTTCTGCATCCTCCTGTTTGGGCGGAACTGGCGCTGCCTTGGGCGTTGCGTGTGGTTCCTTCCGCTTCAACGCCCTCGGCGTAAGTTTCGAACCGTTGTCCTCCTGCCCAGGAATCTGAGTTTTAGGCTTGGTTGCTGACTTGTGCGGGCGACCAACACTGACAATTCCATTCTTGGCCCGGACCTGGGCGTGCTTGGGGTCGTGGTAGAAACTAGCTACTGTCGAAGCCAAGTTGAAATGGGGGCCCTGCTCCTGATAAATCTCGTAAAGCCTGTGACGCATCCATTCAGCCGGTGTCATGCCAAGGTCCATTTTGGGGAGGTCCTCCATCAAAGTGCTCGCCAGGCGGTATAGAGTGTTGTACTTGATAATCTTTTTGGTGTCCATCCACGCCTTTCCAACAAGCTGGTATGGATGTAGTTCGCCCTCCTCTAGAAACTTGAGTGTCAGTTGGCCCCTATTGATCTGTCGCTGAGCTTCATATTTCCGGTGGTCCTTGATTCCCTGACTGTCCATCTCCTGAAATTTGGTGGTCCACTTTTCAAGCTCCTTTCGAACGTGAGAGGCAATATCGGAATCCCAGTCTTGCTCCCAATACGGATGATCGGGAGATATTTTGGCCAGTGGCACACCAGCCATAAACGGAGGCTCCGTGTACACCACGCCGTCATCTTTCAGACAAAGGTTTTCCTTGGTGATCTCCGGAAGGGACGCACGACTTGGTTCAGCCGGTTCAGGCGAGCCTGCATGTGGGGTACCTGGATGAGAGGGCAACTGTACACGTGAGGTGGGCAATGATTTTCGGCCGGCCTTCTTGACGGGAGGCGCGGCTTGATTTTGGGCGGCATCGGCTGTATCCTTGGCAGAAGCGCTGTCTTGCTGGTCCCCTGATGGGCTGTTTATAGCGGTGAAACTGGAACCGAAGGAGGGTTTGCTGATGGCAGTTGATATTGTTGCCGGTGTTGGTTCTAGAGCTGAAGCCGGAGCCACCGCCGGAGCCGCAGCCGGAGCCGAAGCCGCAGCCGCAGCCGGGTCCGGAGCAGGGCCTGGGGCCGACGCTGTTTTGGGCCGCAAAGAGGCACCCACGCAGGCTTGCCGATTCCACTCGCAGTTGCCACATTTTGGAAAGCTATCGTCAGCATCCAAAATGATGCACTCTTCATACGGCCCATTGTGCTTCGCGCAGGTATTGCAGGGTTGACCTTGAATATTCCCAGTGGCTTGGATATAACAACTTGTCCATTTTGTCCCTTTAACATCACTGACGTGGTATACCCTATCCAAATCCTCCGAGGTAAACTTGCGGCCAGAACGAATTTGAACATGGCGCTTGAGCGGAAATGCCGCTATCTTTTCAATGTTGGGAGAGGTGGTGTGGGTCAGACGACGTACTTGTCCCACCAGTCTGCCGTCCTCATCAAAAACGCACAGCTTGCCGTCCGACACACTAGGAGGCTGTCTAGGTGGGCTACCTTCGTGTGTAAATGTGTCGGATGGCGGTGATGGGATCGAACTAAGATCAGAAAGGGGCGAATCAGCAGTATCTGCTAGAGCCGGAGACCCATTATCGACATTCGCCGAGTCAGCACCAAGTTTGGAGGTCGTAGCATCCATTATCTGTGTAGGCGGTGACACCTCGGACTGCTTCGCTGTGATCTGAATGCCTGACATTTCCACGTCTGCTCTTTGAGATGCTGCCTCTCGAGTCTCCACTTGATCAGGAGACTTGAAGACGGTAGGTCCGGCATTCTCTTGGCCCAGAACTACAGTCGTCTCGGTGGCAGCCTGAGGGGGGGCAGCATCTCTCATTTCGACGTCCCAGCCTTCAGTATGTGTGGAGAAAACCTCCGCCCGGGCGGGGGCTCCCAGATCGACAGCTTTGCCCTCTGTCCCCTCCTTGGATGAGACGTCTGCCTCGGGACCCTCTTCGGAGGTTTGCAAAGGGGTCGGAATGTCGGTTGCTCCGTTGAGGGCAGCAACGGTGACTGGTGTGGCTTGCTCTTCCGGTACTTGTACATTAAGTGATTCTGTACTAGTTACATTCTGCATCTCGGACACAGCTGGATCTGTCTGTTGATCGGGGGTCTCAACGCTCGGAACAACAGTTGGGGAGACGGAGACGAGCGCACCCGAAGAAGCGTTCGGGTTTGGCGGTGGAAAATGTTGAGGTTGAGCAAATGGCGCCTGGTAGCCTGTTGGTGCCTGAAGGATCGGGGTTTTTTGACTTGCCGCAGGACGGGAAGCGCCTTCGAGACGCTGCTCCTCGGCGTCGTGGTTCCTTGGAAGTGTTGGCGCCTCTAACACTGGAGCGCCTATCCTTTTAGAGACTGAGAGACCCGGTGACTCAAGAGGACCATTATCTGTGGGCGCTTTGAGAGATGGAGGCTGAACAGGCCCGCCCATGAACATGCCCTCTGATCCCGTGGATTGATGTGAAACCCTAGGGGCGAGTTGTGGTGCCCTCAAACTTTGCATGGGCGATGAGGCAATCGTGGCATCATCAGCCATGGCCTGGTCTAGCCCTGTCAAATTTTGATCTTGGGCTTGTCGAAGGGAGGAAGGTTTTTTGCTTTCTAGTAGAGTCAGCCGGTCTTGGTGAATCTGCTGCCACCTCATCTCCTTATCCTTCAGATCCTGCTCGTGCTTCTTGGCGAGTGCCTGAAGCTCAGCGTGTTTGCGGTGTTGTAAGGACTGGACATCGGTAACCTTTTTTTGGGTGAATGAGATCTTGCTCGCCACCTCTTGCCTCTTATTCCGGGCTTGCAAAAGAAGTTCCTCTAGCTTCGAGATGTCGGCATCGGCGGCCGCTCCTTCTTTGGTGAGGGCCGTCATTTCTTTCTGAAGCTGGAAGAACTGTTGGGTGTAGTCCATCTGTTCCTGTTCAAGGGCGGCTTTGTGGGCGGCATGGAGATCTCGGAAGTTGCGCATGTCCTCTTGGCGGACACGGTCCAATGAGGCCATCATGCTCCTGCAGACCTCTTGATAAATCTCCTCAGACATGCTTTGGTAAGCAGGAGCGAGTGCAGTGGCCTGGCTGGCCAGAGGAAGATGCGCGTTGCCATGGCCGTTAGGGTGGGCAGCGGCGGACATGGTTGCTGTTTTGCTGAGGTGGGCTTGAGGTGCACGGGTCGTTCAGAAATATAGCGACCGAGTGAAGCTTTTCAACGGAGTCCCATCAAACTTGTTGGTCAGTCGCTGGCATCATGGACATAGACAAGCCTTGGAGCTAGGGCGTTGTTAGCAGGCTGCATTTCGCATTTGAGACGAAGTTGGGTTCATCCCGAGCGCGGGTAAACTCACTTGCAGAATATAGGGATCCAGCTCTCAGCGCGCAGAAACACGATACCAGGTGCTGTGGCTGCGAGTAGTATGACGATGGTGCCGACAGTCGATGGCGATGACGGCGACGATGGGAAATTGACGGTGGTGACAGGTGGCGGAATGGAACTAGGTAAGTTCAAAGTTGATAGCGAATATGAGTGTTGAGTGACTGAGATGAGATTGAAGCTTTGCGAAAAAGCCAAGTCCGATTAGGTTGCTTGCTTCTTGCTTGGTTGCGGCGCCCCCAATTAAAAGCAGAAGCTGCTACCGACCTAGGTGCCTAGGTTGTGGCTCGAAAACCTAATAATGTCCGCTCAATGTGGTCGGGACCTTGATCGGGACCTGGACCTAGGGGGCGTTTTGGCGCGTCTGGGCTGTTTGCCTTGACTGCCGTGGCAATCTGTCTCGTGAGGAGAGAGATGACCTAGATGATTATTAGGGATTGGCAGTCACTGGAGAGTCTGTCACTGGAGAGTCTGACCTGACAACTGTTGTTAAGCGCGACTGCCGGGGTATCGGGGGCATCCATGGAGGGATCAAGGCGGGCGCACGTGCCCCCGATCAAGCCGACCTTCCAACTCCTTCTCGTCTGACATGACATGGTCCAATTTCATACATAAGTCGTGGTCAAACTCGTGATAATTAAGGTAGGCAGGTAGGTAAGTTTGATGCATATACAGAGAACAAGCTATGTAGGAACAAATGATGCTCTGCCAACACAACCACGTAGCTATTAGTGTAAGTCGCCTTCCCCTCATCCATGCTCAAGAAATATCATGTCCCGCTGTATAGTAACGCCCCAAGACTGGAAAAGAACCTTCACAAAAAAAGCCAACACGCTGATGCCAAGGCAACTCTTTGCAGCAAATACAAAACAAAAGAAAAGGGGACATTGCATTCGAGGCTTCATTTTTGACAAGGAGCAAACACAAAGACCAACCAACCAACCAACGTCCCTAAACCCAGACTGTTGATCTTCAGTGCTATGGGGATTATTCCCCCATGCTTCAACATTCGCTAGAGACCTTTGTAGGACAAGAAACACCCCCATCTCCCTGCGCCCAAGGCATCTACCTCTATTGGTACCGGGAGAGCCTGTTCGGACTAGACGAATAGTGCTGGTTCGGATGAGAATCATAGGCACTCGACTGGCCATATGGATCGTCGTGGTAAATTTGTGTGGCCCGACGTTGCTGCAGGTCGTCTTCGGGCGAGGGTCCCATCAACTCCTTGACCTCCCAGTTGTTCATTCTCGTGCCCACCGAGAACTCCAGGTCTTCCTTAGTGATGGAATCCCAATACTTGTACACCATCATGACGGCCAAAAGATTGCACGTTGTCGCAAAGAACAGTCCATCCATATAGTGACTGACAGAATTGCAAATCGGCCTGCTGAAGGCATAGAGAATGACCTGGCCAATGACGAAGAAGAAGACGCCAAACGCGATATCGCCCAGGGGCCACCGGTCCTGAAGCGTCCGAGTGACGAGAATGATTTGCAGAACCACGTAGACGAAGAGTTGGATGGCGTTGAGAAGGTAGAGCACCACAAACAAGCCGATAGTGTTGGTGGGACCAAGACCAGCCCACGTCATGAAAGTTGCGAGCGCCACCAGGAACGAGATGACAAAGGCAGCGGCAGAGCAGAGGCGCATCATCCAGAGCGAGAGCGGTGTCCCATCCTCGTATAATTGAAATCCGACGAAGCCATTGATCAAGAGACATGTCACCAAAGCCGACGTGAGACCGGCCTGAACAGCGACGAAGTAGGGGTACGGTGCCGATCCTGGGGGTATCACACCCGCGTCAATGCAGAGGGAGAGGAAGGTGAGGAGCATGTAGAGGTAGAAGAAGCTCGTAATTTCTTTCCGACCTGTTGGTTTGCAAAACCTGTCAGTTGCCCAGTCTTTGAACTCCAGAATTCGGACCCAAACCATGAGAAATTCACATACCAACTGCCGTGAATTTTCCCCGAACGTGCAGGATCATGGTTACAGTCATGATCAAGGCAACAATGTGCATGGCGCTGGCGGCGCCTTGGAAAATGATGGTATTTGCCAGCTCAATATTCCGTGAGAAACAGTCAGGTTCGATGCCCACGCCGCTTGCGATGGAGGTTATTGGGCCGACTGAGGAGCATAGTGGCAGCGGTGCCATGCGGCAGATGCTGGTGAAGTCCCCGAAAGTCATCCCGGGTGATGGAGGGGGCCGGTGAGGGCCTCAACGGAGGGAGATTCGATAAGGTTGGAGGGGACGATTCAGGAGAAGGAGAGAAGCGTGTTCAATCTGTGGATATTCGAGGATTTCAAGGCGGAGGGTGGGGATGGAGGGGTTGGGAGTGGTTGCGATGGGCGACGGTCGGAATGTGATGGCTAAGGTAACTCTGTTGCGACGAAGGATGTTGAAGACTGGGTGGAGATGGTTATGGATGGCGATGGCGGATGGCGAAAAGGCTGAATCGAATACAAACGACTGAAAAATTGAACGAAGGTGGGATGGGTTCAACGAATGTGGTGCGAGGCTGGTAATGGGTCGTCAATGTCTGGACATGGTGGTGCTAGCCCTATGCTATGGTTGCTCCGCCGTTGGATGCGCGCGATGTTGAGGCCGGTGAGCAGAAGGGACGGGATTGCGTTGCCAGGGAAAAATAGGAGGGCTGCCGTCGCCCAGCCTCCCATCTCGCTCCATCTTCCAGCTGACGTTACTGCACGGCGATGGGTCCGAGCGCCCCACTTATGCAACACGGAATTGTTTTGCCAAAATAGCCTCTTCAGGTATTCTGCCTCCCCATTGGCCCGGAATTCCATCAATGTCTTGTTCATGTTGCCAAACAACATTCCAGACAAACCTGATCTTTGCAACCTCTCAGTATTTTCGATCAAACTACTACTTCATGGCAGAGTCTATCCCACATTCTGCACATTTTAACGTATTCGAATTTTGCAATAGAAACACCGACATTACCTAGGATCGGAAGCCTAAAGCTGTGAGTGCAGGCTTGATTAAAAGTCCATTTTTACACTTCTAGACATGAGGTGGTTTCTACAATTCTACTTGAACAAAAATCAAAACTCAACCCAAATATTTCCGGTCCTCTCCAGAATGCATTTACCTTGTTCAAGACAAAGTAGCATTGTCTCCCTAGTTTCTTGGTCCACCGTTCTATAACATGACCAGTGTGCCTCTTCTTCCCAGTGACCCTCTCCTTCAATATCTTTCCCTTATAGTTACTATATCTCCGGACTACACTCGTTCACTCTCATGTCCGGACCCTTTTCCTCCCCTCTTCATTCGCCCCGTCACTATCAGCCTGGTCGCCTCGACCTCTTTTCCTGTTGTTAGGGACAAACTTGCCATGGGCTTCCTCAGCAATGCCCCCGAACATTGGCTCCTCCGGTCGCTTTGGCTTACAATCTTCCGGGGGCTTTGATGAAAATGCTGTATTTGTCGTGGGTTGGGATTGGGCAGCATGAACATGGTGGGCGCGGTTGATGCCGGCCTGTCTAAGCCTCTCGTCTACCTGTGCCTCCACCCACGCCCTTCTTCACTCTTCTTCTGCCCTCCGCATTTCAACTTCCGCCCAGTACCTCTCTCTTGTCTGTATCCACGCCTCTCTTTTCCTTATCCAATCCTCTTCCATTCTCACCCGCATCTCCTCTTCTGCCCTCCTCCGCATCTCTTCTTCTGCTCTCCTCCGTATATCTTCATCCACCCTCCTCTGCTTTTCTTCTCTTGCCCTCCTCCTGTAGTATTCCTCCTTCGGCTCCCTTCCTCCCTGTCGTCTCCACTCCTCCCCAACTCGTCGAGCCCATTCTCTTATTTCTCTTTGTTCGGCGTCGTACCTCTCCACCCAAGCCTCATAGCGTCTCTCCCAATCCTCGTAGCCAGTTCCCCGGGACTCATAATACCTTTTGAATGTCTCGCGCAGCCTGTTTCACGCCTCTTCCTCTTGCCGTAAAATTTCCTTGTCCCGCTTGAAGGGTGTAGTCGAGGGTCCCGCAGTTGATGATGAAGAGCTGGTCGAGTTACCTAAGACCTGGTTCGGTGACCAGTCGATTGAATTCCAGCACCAGCTGAGACCGCTCACTTTCCAACGCTTCTAGTTCCTTCCGTGTGATCTCAATTGATTTCTAGTACGCCGCAGAGGCCGTTGTCGGATCTCGCTGTCTTCGCTGGTATGAGAACAACTTGGCGGTGCCATTCAGCCTGGTGCTCTCGATTTGCTGTAGGCGACTGTGGACCGATTGATCATATTGGGCTCGCGAGGTATAATTAGAAAGGACCTCATGGGCGTTGTTGATCTGAGAAAGATGTGAGTTAGTACTTGGCAAATATAATGTCGACTGAGAAAAAGGCAATGAGGTAGGTACTTTTCAGTCGCATCAAGGTCAGCGGCTGGGCGCTTGTCCGGGTGCCAAGGGAGCGCAAGCCGCCTGTACGACTTCTTGATCTCCTCTCTGGTAGCAGAGAGTTTGATCTCTAGGGTGGAGTAGTAACGCAAGTCGACAACGGGAACTGCGGCTCGGGACATGTTGCTGGATATGGCACTGTGAACTGTGGATGATCGCAATGAGGGAACAATTATCCTGGTGGTATTGTTGTCGCACAAAACACACTGGCGGAGCTTGAGATCTAGGTAGCGTTTTGGGTGGTTGCGGAGAAAGCAGCGACAGATGAGTTGCGCAGTGAAGGCAATGGTGAATTTCAGGCAGCGAATTTTGAAGTAAACAGGTGAATTTCCAAGGACATACCGCCCAGTTGTGGGGAGCAAGTCTGAATTTTATCCCAGCTTTGAGGCCATGAAATTTGCCCTGCCGACGAGGTTGCTTCCTCACTTGCTCCCACTTGGGTTTCAAGGAGGCCAGTGACATCATGTTGGATCGCAAAGACTGGTTACATGAAGTAGGGAATTCCCAGGGAAATAGAATAAATAGAATCAACTATATAATAGGGATGGGGTCTTTGGCCCTGCCCTTGACATCCTCCATCCGGCGGTAGATTCATGCCGTGTTGAAGGACACTGTTGCCGCGGGAAGAAGATGATGAGTGCTAGGCCTAGATGACATGTGGTACCTTGCAGTGCACGCATCTCACCATCACTATCTCCACGTCGTCGTCGTCGTCACTTGCTTCTTTGTCGTTAGATGCTGGTTCAGTTGGGCGGCTGTAGGCCAGCTCTTGTGTCGGGTTCCAATAGAATGGTCTTGACACTGCTTTCCCCAGGTGAGTTGACGGATCCGGGTGGGCACAGTAATCTCCATTCTTGGCTTGATTGCAGTGAACCGGGGATGGCTTTTGGGCTGTTGTATGTTGAAATTGATTCCCGCCTTGATCTAATCCTTCTGATGGCTTCTGGCCTGCTCTGCTAATCAAGGGCTCCTTCAGCTCGCACTCCAGCTCAAGCTTGGAGTGCTCTTCCTTCAAGCTAGTGATTGTCGCCTTCAACTTGCGCCATTCGCTTTTCTGCTTCTTGCTTAGGGCCGAAAGCTTGTCGCGCCCTTTTGTCATTATCCTCTCGATGTGGCAGAGTCGGCTGGATGGTCTTATCACAATGATTCCACGCCCTGTCGTCGGATAGAATCTCGTATGCATTGTGAATCTGGAGATTGTTGGTTAGTGCAAGTACAAAGACCATCCATGAAGAACGCAATGTGATACCTTCTTGAACTTTTCGCCAGGCTGGTGCTCGAAGAGCGACTGCTGCTTATCCGGGTGCCAAATCAACGCCAGCTGTCTGTATGATTTTTTGATCTCGGCCTTGGTCGCGGATGGTGTGATTTCGAGAGTCGTGTAGTAATGCAGCTCGGCTACAGGCACCGCAGGCCACGGCATGTTGAGGATTCTACGATGACAGTTTGATTTGTTGTACTAGTGCTCCTGTTCCGTGAGTGCCTCCGGTCATTGAGGCAGCTCAATGGAAGTGTGAAGGGCTTAGCGGCAACTCCGAAAAGAGTTTGAAGCTGTGTGGGATTTTCAGAGGTCTCGGAGAAGAAAACAACAAGCTGTGATTTCTTTCTTTTACTGGTGCCTAGGGCCACAAAGATATGCTCGAGATTTCATCCCATCTTTGGGAAGAGGTTATTACCCAGTCTGATAACGGTTCTCTTAGAGAAATAAGTAAGGTAGGTACAAGACGCTGGATATCAACAAAGCAAGTATAAAGTGCCTATCTGCCTACCTGGGTACCTAGCGACCTTATCTACGTATCCACAATGCATCTTTGGGTTCAGTCCTCATCAGACTCAGACCTTGTTGCTTGTGTCAGGTTTCTTGGTGTTACTAGCAGTAGACCTGGGGGAGCGAGCGCCCAAGCAGAATTGAAAAAAGTGTTCATATTGTGAAACTCTAGGAAGAACTACTCCCGAGAACAGAAAACCTATCTAAACCCAACCAACTGTGGCCCGGCCCACAGGATAGAAGCTCTAAGAGCAACCTTACTACCTACCAATCCTCCGAGAGCAACTCATCCAAGTCCTTGTTGACGCGCTTTCTTCCCCTCTTTTTCGGCGGCTCACAAATGCTCGCAGCGGTCCGAGTCCGTTTATCAACGCTGGGCTGGTCGATTGCTGGACCAGCATCTCGTCTTCCCTGCTCATCCTTCGACTAAAGCAGCGCTCCAATCGCCAAGTTGTTGGTAGTCTCCTTGACCTTCTGAAAGCTAGTCTCAAGTATGCCCATACTGTTGTTGTAATCCGACACCACCTTCTTGAGCTTCGTGTTCTCGGCGCCAAGTGTCTTGAGTGTCATGTCCTTGCTGATCAGCTGAGCCCTCGCAGTATTCAGGAGGGTAGCTGTGTTGGCCAGCTTCAAGTTTTGCCTTTCCAGCTCCATAATCCGTTGCTTCATCACTGTTTCCCTCACAGCATATACAGCATTGACTACCTGGCAACGTAGCAGTTCCTCCCTAACACTCGTTAGCTCTGACAATGCAGCCTCGAGATCTCTCTCCTTCCTTTTCAATGACATGACCCCGATTTCGGTCTTCATCTGCTCAAGCTCCTTTTTAAGGGTCATTCGATCCTGGCCTGCATGCTTATCCCACCCATTCCCCCAAGCCTCAGAGTCGCCTGTGAGTTCGTATCTCAAATTGTTACAGTGAGTCGTGCTGTAGTTTAGACTTGTGAAGACAGCTAGCCTGCTCTCTTCCAACGAAGCGGCTTCCGCGGCAGCAATTTGGAACCGTTCCTTAGCTTTGTTGAGCCCGCCGTCTCTGCATATCCGAATGTCGCTTGGGGTGCGACCTGAAGAAGGACTCTTGCTGTTTGTGATCAACTTGGTAACACTGCCTAACTCGAGTTGAAGGTGGGTTGGAAGATCTTCAAGAGCCGAAAGCTCTGTCTTCTGCGCTGTGTCGAGGTCGGTTTCACAGGCCAGGCAAGACGTGATGCGTTCCATTCTGCACTCAAGCCACCGCATGTAGGTCTGGAGGACTTTATCATCGTATGACGAGCGCTCCTCTGGATCAATCAGGACGTTATAGACCTCTTGAAGCTGTATCAGAATTAGCATGTTATCCAATGTTTTCTCTTTCCACAAGCAGCTGGCTCCCCAGCATTGACGTACCTTTTGGAACTCTCGGGTCGCTCTGGCTTGGGTACTCAGATTTTGTCCGGATGATAATGAAGACAGAGACTTTTATAAGCTTTCTTGATTTCAGCTGTGTCGGCTGTCGACAGGATTTCAGGCGTGGCGTAAAATAATCGTAGGCGGATCATTTTAGCATTTTTCCACCCCGATGAGTCCATTTTCAGGGTGTTCTGATGGAAGAGAGACATGATCTTCTAGAATGATTCGTGGTGAGAGAAAAAACCGCGAGCAAAGGCGAAGGAGCTGTCGGTCAAATTGTTGACGTGCTTCAGTGTAATTGCAAGCTAGCTGCCAGGCAAAGAACATATTTGATAGATGAAACCAGGAAAGAAGTTATAGACAAGTATGGTACCTATCCAGAACGATGAAGTCGCAACTGCCGTTGTACCTATTGTCTCGACCTCAGCTTAAAAAAAAGAAAAAGAAAAAAAGGAGAACTGCAGCCCAAAGAAGGCCTTGGTTAGAAGCCGTTCAAAAGCATTGGCTTCCTGTACCTCTAATTATAATGTGCCTCGGCCGCTCATTCCATCTCAAGTTGCCCATTGATATATGGTACCGCCTTCTTCCACTTCCAAGTCACTGTCGGCATCTGAAACCAAATGATATATTATGCCATCCTCCTACATATGTAACACATTGAGGTTTATGATAATGTTGAATTTGTTTTTCTATTTAGTGGAAGCTTTGAAGCTACTCCTTGAAAGATCTTAGCCTAGAGTGAAAGTAAAGTACAGTAATACAATATATATATCGATCGCTGTATGTATTGTAGCTAATTCATATATAAGTTCCACTTCATTTATCAGCATCTGCTCGTAAAAGGACCAACTTTAAATGGCGGAATTATCTGACCTTTGAATTATCCAAAACCCAGATAATGTTTTGATTTTAAAAAAGCCAAACCTGCGTATCTTGAAAATCATGGCTCGTCTTCAATCAAGAAGACCAAAATACCGTATACAAATATTCCACAATCCAAAAGGCATCCCACATCATGAGAATCCCTCAGTAGCACTATCTATTGCATTGGAATATGAATCTATATTCCTTACCTTAGTTTAAAGTTCGTTTAAAACCTTAAAGAACCTCGAAGTTATCTCAGGTACCTGAGTTACACGGCAGATATTCTAAGAGAGCACACAAACCTAGAAAGAAAGAAAGAAAAGAGCTCAACGCTGTGAACTTAATCGCAACATAGCAAACATGAATAGACACCCAATCGAAAGTTACGAAGGTCATGGCTCATGAGCTTCAAAGGGTATCAAAAACAACGAAGTATATAGCCTTAAAAGATGATAGCACAGTAACATAATTGCAGGCCATGATGGGAAATGATGAAGAATACTATCAATATGTGCTTTATAATGCTAATATTGCACACCTTGAGTGCAGCGCTAAGTTGGTGACCCAAATTCCGAGGTCCATATCCAGCAAGCCAACCCCAGCTGCAGTGCTATATCCCGAGATGCTGTCCATGCCACAGCTGCGCTTCAACCCGTCCTGGCAGCCTTAGGCCCTCTGCCATCAGTGTTAGCAGAATCGCGAGTATCATTCCTCGGCCTTCCCCTCTTCTTCCTGGTTGTCGGTTCCACGTCGCCACTTTTGTGCACTGGTGAGTTGTTCGCTTGGTCCAACATGCGCCTCAGCCGTTGGACCTCATCCTCCAGAGCTAGGTTCTTCTGAAGTAGACTGTTCACAATCCTGTTCTTCTCCGCGAGAAAGGTCCTCAGTATCTTGATCTCAGTTTCCATCGCCCCGAAGGGGTGGGGAGTTGCCATCGACCGCTGGTGATGTTGCCAAGGTGGCTGGGGAGGCGGAGGGTGTCGGAAGTTTGATCCATGAAATGAAAAAGATCTCGCCCGCTGATAGTGCTGTTCCTGGCCAGGCGGTGGCCTGGTAGAGCTGTAGGATGGACGAGGAGAGAAGGTCGGTAGGGCTTCGGATGACCTCTGTCGATGTGAGCGTGGTGGCGGCGTGGTGGGCGATGGGTTTGGAGGATACTGAGAAGCTTCATACTGTGACGGACGCCCTTGTGACATAGTTTGAGGACCACCATGAAAAGAAAGCGGGCTTGGTATCTGTGCTGTTTGACTGTCCTGCCAGCGAGGGTTGTGTTCCTTTTCCAGCTCTGCGCATTCCTTCTCTGAGCTCCAAACCTTGTCCAAAAGGACGTCCACCTCCTCCTTCAGTCTTTTCCAGTTGGTTTCGGCGTCTCGCATGTCCGCAGTCGCCTTTTGGTGGTCTTGCTTGGCAAGATCGAGGTCTTGGACAGTTTGAGGGGGCATCTCGCCTGTCGAAGCATGTTGGGTATCACTTTGAGGAGATTGGGCTGGCTCGTCGCTGTCATCATCGCTGATGACAACAAAAGCCTTCGCGTCGATAATACGCCGTTGTGCAACATCGTAGGCCCGTTGCTTTTGTTTCAGCCGAAAGGTGAACGCTTCAAAGAGCCGCCGTTTGTAGTCGACAGTGGGCTGTACCCTTGCCGAATCCCGTTGTACGCGATCAAGGAGCTCGGCATACCTGCGCCGCGCCTGCTCTGTCCTCGACAGCTTGGTGGCGATGGTCTGGTCGTAAGTATGCCTTGCTTTGGGGTCAGAGAGAATCTCGTAGGCTTGTTGCAGCTATCAAACAGTTAGTACCTGGTACCATGCGGCATCTCTGGGAAACAGGACATACCTCCTGAAAGTCCGCTGTGGCAGCGGCAGAGTTGCCATGCTTGTCGGGATGCCTCAGGCGAGCCATTCGATGGTATGCCTTCTTGACGTCAGCAGAAGTCGCATCTGGGCGAACTCCAAGCATGTTGTAATGCTGGAGTCTTTTGTTTGGTGAAGACATTTTCGATGTTGGAGCCGAAACGAGGGCGGTCTCAGTCGCAGTCGCAGGTGTGACGTGGTGGGAAAGAAAAGGATTGAGAGAAGAAGGCCGCTTCAGCAACCGACATGATTTTGAGGTTGCGTGAGGGTGCGGCGAAAGGTAATGTAGTCGCGTTGCAAACTGGAATCATGGCCAAAGGCTTCAGGGAAATGGTGTGCAAGTGGCTGGGGATGAATTCGCTACGTTGCAAGAAATTGAGAGCACAATAAAAACTAACCTTGACAATAATCCAGAGAAAAAGTAGGTAAGGTAAATTAGTCCTGCTTTTCAGGCCGGGCAGTCACCCCACTCGTTGCGTTTGACACCAACTGCAGCTCCAGGCACTTGACAAACGCACCTCTGGTTGCTGTAGCTGTCTATCTCTTCTTTTATTGCTTGATCTTGTCATTGCTAGCTACCTGATATTGTTCTCTTTTTATTTGCTGAAAAACTTGGAAAAGTCCTGCTTTGCCAGAGATTCCTCCACCGTCGTGATCGGGCAATCGATGCCCGCCTAGATTTATCTGGTCAGTATTTTTCTTCCACATTTGCAAACCAAAGAAAGCAGGGCTCGTTCTCACCTTTTGGATATCCTCAGCTGTCAACAGCTCCATCCCACCATCGTACCCCGGATCGGACGAATACGAATACATGAGAGCAACCTCCAGTCCACAGGCCTTGTCAGGAGTCTCGGCCACCATCTCGTCAATCGTCACCTCCTTATACTCGATGGTGGCCCCAGTAACCCGACCCCACGCAGCCGCCCAATCCCTGAAGCTCAGATACTCCCCAGCCATGTAGGCCTTTCCAGGCGGCATCTGGGAGACGGCATACACAAAGTTGCCAGTGTCACGGTTCACGTCCAGCTGGGGAACCAGCTTGTCTGGGTTACAGGGGAAGCGCATCTGGAAGCTCCCGTCGGATTGCTGCCACGATCATCAGTATTTCTCCTTCTTCGGACCGACGAGTGGTGGCTCACCTTGGCAAAATAGGAGTCGGGCAAGATATTGTGACTGGTGGTGAAGAAGCCGGTGTGAATACACGACATCTTGGCCGCCAACTCGGGATACTTGGGAACAACATAGTCGGGGAACACATCGGCCTTGGAGTCAAAGTGGTATAGGTCCTGGAACTTGCCCTTGCTGCACTTCCGCGCGCTGCTCAGGGTCGATACCAGGAAGCCGTTATCCACCAGAGTGTCAACCACAGTGGCCGCAGCGTCGGCAATGTTTTTGCCCTGCTGGACCTCAACATCATAGGCGTACTTGCGGCAGGTGATGCCGAGCTCCTCCGCCTTGGCCCGGCAGTCAGGGCGGAAGAAGGGCTCCCAGTACTGTGTCACGCTGAAGATGAGGTTGGCGCCCTTGAAGGCCTTCTTGAGAGACTCGACGTCGTCCAGCTCGGCCGCCACCACTTCGGCCCCGAGCTCCCTGAGGGCCTGTGCTGCGGGCGACGAGACATTGCGGGTCAAGCCGCGAACGGCGTATTGCGGGTCCTGGAGAAAACGGCGGGCAACAGCACCGCCCTGGTTACCGGTGGCACCCAACACCACGATGAGCTTTTTTTGAACGTCGGCCATGTTGAAGATGGGGATGAAACGAAGAGAGAGGGGGATAGAGAGAGCAGTGTCGGTAGGTGATCAGTCAGATCAAGAGACAGGAAGCAGGAGATAAGTCACAAGCCAGGACGAGCAAACAAAGATATCTTTAAAAGGCCCCCCGGCCGATGAACAGGTTCATTTCCAGGTTCCAGTCCGCCGGTTCAAGGAGGGGGCCCGAATTAAAGAAGCAATCCACTTCGTCTTCCGTTTCCAATCATCTGTCAAGACCCCCTTCCCCTCTCTCGAGTCCTGGGCGTAGGTATTCCCTCAGTGCCTCGCCCCCTTTGGGCCCCTGAAGAAGAAAGGCATCCTTGGATCGTCCTTCACGGTGGCCCTCGACATGGGAGCACACTTCCCGCAACAGGCAACGGTCCCCGAGTGAGAGGGACATACTCGGCTCGGTACAAACCAGAACTTGGGTAGCATTTTGGGTGCGGCCTGTGATGTGGAACTCGTCTTCTTGAGTGGAGCTGTGTGATGGGATGTGGTGAAGTGATAGCGCGGAAGCCAGCGCTCGGCTGGCAGCTTGTGCTGGTGTAGCGCGTGGGGACAGGTGCAGCTAGCGGAGGTTAGCGGAGGCTGGCGGAGCACAACACCCCCTGATCCGGGATGGCGGGCCCTTGGTTCGTCTCGGCAGGTGGGAACGGCGGGGCGTCAGACCTTACTGCTGGGACCACGGCCAGCTGGAACCACGCAGCCAGGAATTTGTCCAAGGGAAAAAAAATACGCAATCCGCCTCCCAAGCGAGCCCATGAGCCCACGAGCCCAGGGGTTCGGGTACAAACGAGAAACAACACATGTCTGGGCCAGCCAGACCAAAGAGGGGCTCTCGGAAGGGGAAGGGGCCCATATGAATTGGGTCCGCCGTCTGTCCCAAGTGTTCGTCCCCCCGATACCTTGCTCTTCCGATCCTTTCGGCAGATCATCGCCGGCCAGACAAACCTGAAGACAAAGAAGTAACGCTGCCAAACTGGGGTCCCACGAGTTTCTCACTTTCTCCCCATCCTTCGTGCTAGAGCTACGCCATTCCAATGTCTGATAGCCCCGCCAAACCCGCTGCTAATAGCGGGTCTGGCTCTGCCGCGGCCTTTGGGAAGCCGCCGGAGTCACCAACAGCATCAAAGGATGTGACAAGTCCCGGGGATTTGCAGCAAGGCCCTGCCGATGAACCAGACCACCCTCACCTCGAAATCGATGTACGTTGATGCCAGATGCTCACTGCTTCCGTCCTTCGAAACCTGCATGCCGGTGACTAACGCGACTCTTTGCGTCCTTGCCTGCAGCACGACGAGGGCACCGAAGACAACTATGATGCCGACTCGGCTTACGTCTCCCTAGACGGCTCATCCCGCACCGGATCCATCACCTCGTCCATCACAAACTATATCTATGAGAACGGTCGTCGGTACCATGCCTATCGCTCGGGGCAGTATGTCTTGCCCAACGACGAGGACGAACAAGAGCGCCTTGATCTCCAACACCACATTTGGCTTCTCCTGCTCCATGGAAGCTTGTACACGGCGCCCTTGAATGTTCCAGACGAGTCGGATTCCGGCAGCGAGTACAGGATCTTGGATCTCGGCTGCGGCACCGGTATTTGGGCTATGGATATTGCTGACCAGCACCCTCGTGCGTCTGTATTTGGCGTTGATTTGAGCCCCATTCAACCCGAATGGGTGCCCGGCAACTGCCGCTTCCACGTCGACGACTACGAAGACGACTGGACGTACAGGCCAGACGAGGCGTTCGACTACATCCACGGGCGTGCCCTCGGCGGTACCGTTGCTGACTGGGGTCGATTCTATCGCCAGGTGAGGACGCACCTCAAGCCAGGCGGCTACTGTGAAATGCAAGAGTACGATGCCTGGATCTTCAGCGACGACGACAGCTTCGACAGGGCGCCTTGGACCAAGGAATGGGTAACCAAGCTGGATGATGCCAGCAAGATGTTTGGCAAGCAAATCAACGTGGCCAACCGCCACAAGCAATGGATGATCGATGCGGGCTTTGAAGACGTCCAGGAGAAGGTCATCAGGGTAAGAGCGGCTCCCTGCTCGCGACGTTGACGTCGTTGTGATACCTGATCATGCTTACTAACATCGGCGGCGGCATGGATAGATTCCCATTGGACCATGGGCCAAGGACCCTCATCTGAAGGAGTTGGGCCGCTTCGAGCAACTGCATATGCAGATGTCGGTGGCCTCTCACACCCCTGCACTCTTCACCCGCGTGCATTCATATACCGAACAGCAGTGCCAGGTCCTGATTGAGGGCGTCAAGCGGGAGTTCCGCAATAGAGATCTGAGACTGATCACCATCTACCGCTTCATCAGCGGCCGAAGCCCTGGGCCCCCTCCCCCGGAGCTCTGATGAGGCCGACATGACGGAGTTGACAGATACGAAGCATGATGTGATGCACTGATGATGGATGATGTGAGTGGTCTGTGCATTTGCATAATATTTTTGCATAAGAGTGGATAATTTAATTGTGCAGCCCCTTTTTGCCCCTTTTCCCCTCCCGTGTTATGTTCTCTTTTCTCCGCTGCTGTTGATGCTTGGACAGCGAACGGTCATCCATTTCTCTTCTGTTGTAAAATCTCGGTTTCTCCAACTGGGTAAGACTTCCGTTACTTCATGACATACCCCAAAAAGATGACTGCATGCATATGCCGCGGGCTTTTTGTTGGAAGCGTAAGCACATGGGGCAAGATCTCCTTTTGGAGTCGTGTTGCTTCGCCCACACCATTCAGTCAGCACGTTGAAGATGCCGTCAAGATGGCATAACTTTACGGATGGCAAGATAAACTTGCATGCACACCTTCGGAGTCAACAATGAAGAGAAGCAACACTGCCTTATTTAGTGACCACCATCGGGATCTTGACCAGTAGAGTTTTGGCTTTGTACCTTGATGTTAATGAGTGGTAGAATAATAGAGCGAGTTATTTGGTTTGTTTGATCAGATCAGGTCATTTTCTCGAGGAATAACAACTGTTGTGTTCTCTGGGTTCTTCTAAGAGATATAACTGTCAATCTCTGAGTGCTCATGCTAGCCAGGTCAGCTCTCTGGCGTGATAGTTTTCAAGCATAACACAATGATCATTCTAGGGGACAAAACACTTTCCCTCGCAACCACATCCCCAAACAGCTCCGACTCCTCTTCCGACCCAGAAATTCCATAGTGGTCACCGTCAGAAGAAAAGTCCGCCCGCCGCAAAATCGACCACACCGTCCTCCCGCTCCTCACGCTCGGCCTCCTGGTCTTTCAGTTCGACCGCCATGAACCTCGCCAGCGCCCTCACCGACGGTTTTGCCGAGCGCTCCAACCTCGACCAGGACACCATCAACCTCGGGAACCAGCTCCTATTCCTGGACACTGTCGTGTTGGAAATCCCAAGTAACATGATACTCCAAAAGGTCATCTTCCCAACCCCCCCATTCCCCCAATTGATATTGACTTAAGCAACCTCTGTGTGCATCAGCTCGGCCCCAGAAAGTGGATCTCCTCCCAAATCCTCTTCTTCGGCCTAGTTGGAACCCTGCAAATCCTCATCACCAACCGAGCGGACTATCTTGCCTCTAGGCTATGTCTGGGTCTTGCCGAGTCGGGATATATCCCGAGAAGTATCAACACCATCTCTACTTGGTACACCTCCCGCAAATGCACACGTCGAGTAGCCGTCTTTTTTATTGGCATGTTTGGCGAGAATGCTCTCTCCCCTCTATTGGCGTCTGGGATTTTGAAGCTGAGTGGTCGTCATGGGTTGAGAGATTGGCAGTGGCTTTTCTTGCTGGAGGGGCTGTTTAGTTTTTGTGTGAGAGGGTTGTTCTTTTTCTTGTTGCCTGGGTCACCTGGGGAGACGAAGCCGTTGGTTGGGAGGGGGGTCTGGTGGTATTTAGTGAGAAAGATCGGGAAATCCTGCAGGGCAGGTTGGTGAGGGATGGTGATGGGTTGGATTTGACAGATGGGAAGCCCAAGGGCCATATACCGCTAGCTGTGGTGTGGAAGACGGTGAAGCATTGGAGGTGGCCGCATTTCGTGTCGACGTTTTGTATCTTTTCGACTTGGTCACCGTTGACGACGTGTACGCCGTCTATTATCATGTGAGCTCCCTTTGGTGACCTTTGAAGCCGACACGGAATTTCTCACCAACTGACACACTGTCCTGACAAACAGAAGCTTTGGCTTTGATAGGATAACTGCCAACACCCTCGCCGCCGTCGGGGCTTCCCCAGCTCCTCTATTAGCATTTACACTGGCCGCCATTAGCGACGCAACCAACAAGCGAGGGCTGACTGTCGTTGCTGGTTAGCTATGCTATCTCATAGCCTTGGTAGCTGGGAGATCGCTGCAGGCCGGTGTTGGTACATGGAGCCGTTGGGGTTTGTGGACAGTGATTAATGCATTTGCTGTCGGATATCATCCGGTTCACAACACCTGGCTCCAGTTCAACTGCCACGACCCTCAAGAGAGGAGCATCAGCATCGCCATGTGGGTGATGAGCGCCAACACTGGAATGATGGTGGGGACGTGGTAATACAGAGCCAATGAAATATCAAGCGGTTACCACACTGGCCTACTGATTCAGACCGGCATGGTGTCGCTGGGGTTGGCCGCAGCCTTGGTTCAGCAAGTTGTTCTACTTGGCTCACAACTGGAAGTTGGCGGGGAAACCGAAAGGAGTCGTTTCACTTGTGGAACAATCAAGAAAAGATGGAGTAGTCTACGTACCTTGAACCACGTTGTTCAAGCTTTCATTGCGTAGCTTGGATGGGGCTAATGGCTTGTAATCATGTGCTTGCCGGAGAGCCACAGCCCCCTCATATTAGAGTGGTTGAGTTACCGATCCACCATATATACAGGATACAAATGAACTTAAACATGCTCTTCCTTTACCAAAACTCCAAACACCCGAAAACAGTAATGAACCGCGGGTTACCAGTCGCGAGGTCCCCCCGGCCTGCTTGGGCTTTTGTCCCACCAATTATCGCCTTTGCCTGCGCGGCATGTGTTCCTGACGCAATAGTACTCGCTCCCAACGTTGTTTGCGTTGGGAGACCAGAGAATGAAGGGGTCTCCATCACGGACTGCTTTATTAGAACAGGGGTATACGATATAGTTCTGGACGGTATACGCTGTGTGTGCGATCATCTGCCACACGCAGACATTCGTGTCATGCCCCTCCTTGCCGACGCAATTGAAATTCTCTGCGAACGAGTGCGACTTTTCGACAGCAAATCCACCAGAGATCCAGCCAGCAATGGAGGCGGACGCTGTCCATGAGAAGGTTTTAGTCTCCGAGGTTTCGTAGCTGATCTCGCAGTCGCCGTCGCCGCATCTTCCTTTGCTCTGCAAGATTGGTTAGCGAGGTTGGCCATAGTGAGAAGAAGAATGCAAGCTTACCGTCATTTGAACATGATAGTAGTTCTGATGGGGGTTGCCATCGCCGACCAGTCTGGTCTCGCGGTAAGGAGGGCAGCGGAGAATGGAACCTTGTCTGGCACGCAAGGTTGGGTGTGACGGAAGTTGGTCCTGGGCCTGGACAGTCTCCAACCCCTCGTTACCAATTTCATGTTGGGCAAGCTCGAGCTGGGTGACGTTGGAGGGAGTCCCATCCACATCGCTTTGCTCTACCAAGGGAAAGTTGTCGAAACAGGGTGGCGCCGGTGTGTCGTGAGCTAACGCATCAAAATCCAGTGCCGGCAAGTGCCTGAGAGACACATGGCAGGTTACTGTGGCGGCACGATTGCTGTACATGCTCCAGCAGTCAACTTGGCGTGAGCGGTGCCCGATTGCATGGGTGCGAGATCCGACAGTGATGGTCCCAAAGGCTTCACCGTCGGCATCAACGTGGATAGGCAGGGCCGAAAAGGCACCCGATCTGATGGATTTATCGCAAACACGAGCAAGAACTTGGTGTGTATCTTTGTCCAAGACAGCGAGAGCGTATTTGTTGGTGACTTTGTCATGTCGGTATCGGATGTCGATGGTGCTGACTGGGGCCCGTTCTCCAATCTGGAAGTCGTGTGGAATCGCGAGGGCTAAAGACGCCGTAGCGAGGAGGGAGGTGAGGGAGAAGCCCATGGTGACCGAGTGTCGAATGAGATGGTTGAGATGGAAGGTTGAGATGCTGTTTCAATGTCAGAAATGGGGATGGAAAGGCATCATTTTATGTCTTCAAAGCCCAATCCATAATCTTTACCCTTCCCCTGTGCGCTGGCAAGCATCGTGAATTCCTTTGGTAGATCATCCGGGCGGTGTTGGACAGGCAGTAGTTGAAAGGCCGTCGGAAACTGATGCCAACCGATAGTGAGCAGTTCCCTGAGCCAGGATCGGGGATGACATGTTCGATGATGGATGGAGTTGAGATCTTGATGCCGTCTATTCATATCTTCTTGGCGAGTGCTTCACCACTCGAAGCGACTGGGCAAAAGACCGGCCCCTGCTACCGTCAGCGGCTGACTGGTTTCCAGTCCAGTGGGTGGAAGCCTGGCACATACCTGCCCCGCCCCACTTGGCCGGCCATACTGCGCCACGAGCTTTGACCCCCACTCAGCCCTAGAGACAGAGAAGCTTCAACGACACACAAAAATATCTCCAATGCCAGTGTCAATCCCAGATTCTGCTCACAACGACACCAAATCCTGGTAGGCACACGAGCCCGCCCGGCTAGCTCAATCGGTAGAGCGTGAGACTCTTAAGGAGTTCCTCCGTCATCTCAAGGTTGTGGGTTCGACCCCCACGTCGGGCTCAATTCCCGTCGTCTATCTTGCTTTTTGATCTTGGTCTTTTTTTTGGTCTTCTGCCTCCTTTTTTTTTTTGAAATACGGAGGAAGAGAGGGTGTGGAACAGTTAACCGAACCTCCCCTCATGGCTTCAGCCGTAGAGTCATCGCCGTGCAAGTCATCGGATCAAGTAATGGGGCAGTGGTTAAGAGGCATTCGAGGGAGGGTTCAGACACCATTTCTTAAGGTAATGATGGAATGTAGCAGGGTGGGCAATGAGCCAAGTCGAGCAAGCCGAGGCCTCAGCTTGGCTTGTCTTGAGGCTCCTCGGGCCTGGCTTGCTTGACGCCATCACCAACTTAACTTAACAAGCCGAACTTAGAAGGCCCCAAGTGTTTTTTCGGCCCGAGAGTATAGAGCGGGAACACTGGTTCCGGGCCCGGACCCTCCCGCCCGGAGCCTTGGCCGGAATCCTGGCTAGACTTTTGGCCGGTACCTATATATATATATAGGCCTAAGCGGTTTGGTAGATTTATAAGTTAAGCTAATAAAAGGGCTTGATTTGACTTGGCCAGAAAAAAGGCCGGCTTGGCTTGACTTGCTTCCTTGACTTGACCGTCAAGTCAAGCCGGACTTGACTCATAGCCCCCCCCCCCCCTGGAATGCAGGATGTGTTATGCATATTCATGAGTAATACCTCTTGATAACAATCGTCCCCATACCAAGAACTCATATTGCTGACCGCAGGTCGTTCTATTCTTCTGTTTGGGAAACAACACCAACCTGAGTAGAAATACTCAAATTGGGGTGATCGTGTCCTCGCACTTTTGACCATCATGCGGCCGGTATCACGCATCACGGCCGTTGAATGTTGAGTGGAAAGATTAGAAAGAACTGTTGAGACTACATGTATTTGCTATGCCCCTTTCTTCACTACACTCAAACCTTTTGTTCCCCTGCTCTCCTCTTTCTTTCTGGGCCTCTAAATACCGAATGACGACCGCTTTGTAAACATGAAGGCTGCAGTCATCGGAGCAGGTCCTTCAGGACTAGTTACTCTGAAATATCTTGTTTCTGCTCACACTTTTCTCGGCACTGAGCCCATTGAAACACTGTTATTCGAGAGCGAAGACACCATCGGCGGCACATTTCAAGCCAGGATCTATGAAGATACCGAGGTTTGTTGAGTCTCCACGGCACACTTAACTCACAAGGCTAACATAGGCAAAATCCACAGCTTGTCAGTTCTAAGCAGCTTACTTCCTTCTCAGACTTCCGTCTCCGTGACGAGGACCCCGACTTCGTCTCTGCCGAGCGCTACGTCAAGTATCTCCACGAGTACTGCGACAAATTCAAGCCTTGGTCCCAAATCAAACTCTCCATCACTGTGGTATCGGTAAAGCCCAACATCAAAGGCAAGGGTCATACAATTACGTATTCAGCCAAAGGAACGGGGAAGCAAAAGAGTTGGACCTGTGATGCGATTTCAATGTGCTCTGGCCTGCATGTCACCCCTAACCTGCCCGAAATCCCGGGGCTGGAGGACCATGTGCCCTTGGTGATGCATTCATCCCAGTTCAAATCCCGCTCACAGTTTGGAACTAATAAGACAGTCATGGTGCTTGGAAGCGGCGAGACAGGAGCAGATATAGCGTACCTGGCCGTTACCTCACCCACCAAGCAGGTTGTGATGTGCCACCGCAGTGGCTTCCATTTTGCACCCAAGGTTGGTCCGCCATGTTTGGATTTTCCTGACACTCAAGAGCGCGGCATTCCCGTTGGTAAGTGGTCTTTACTGACACTGTAGTCTCAGAGAAACCTCAGTCCCGTCTTTTTTTCTGTCCTTGGGGGTACACCCAATAGCATTCTAACAGTGCCATTGGACAATGCCCGAGCAAGTCTCTTCGACACAGCCTATGTCCACCCTCTGTTGCGCAACTCCAATGCCCCCTGGACATTCTACGACTGGTACGTCAAAGGAATACTGTGGCTGAACACCGGAACTTCAGGAGGTCTCGACCAGATTGTCGGAGAACCTTCCCCAGAGAAGAACCATGTTAGCAAAAGTAAGCTTTTCTCCCTTTTTCAATAGCTAGACCGGGTACCTTAGGAACTCTCAGACTGATCTCTTCATTGCAGTTTTCTTCAAGAGCAGCAAAGCATCTCCCTACATCTCGTACCCCTATCGTCTCAACTCCAAAAGAAGTCTTGTCGACCGCATCCGCTCGGGTATCATCCAGTCGCCCGTACCTTCCACCAATGGTCGACAGATTGACTTGGCCCCTTGGCCCGAGTCAGTCTCCTCCGACGGAGAGATACACTTTCAAGACAATGGACGACCGGAGTTTCAGAGGGTCAAAGACGGGAATATCAAGCCCGACATTGTCATCTGCTTCACAGGCTACAAGCAAACCTTTCCTTTTCTGGACAGAGATCACTACCCCACGGCAGAAGAGGCCGACGTGAGAAAAATCTTGCACGACAGAGACCCAACAGTGGGATTCATCGGGTTCTTGAGACCAAGTCTAGGGGCGATCCCGCCGTTGGCGGAGATGCAGGCTCAGTTGTGGATCCTGGGCATCATGGTTCCAGAGAGGGTGCATGAGTTGAGGCCGGAGGATGAGCCGCACTACAGGTTGTTACATGGCAAGGATAGCCGGATCGGATATGGTAACGATCATGAGAGCTATGTGTACCAGTTAGCATTGGATATGAACTCCGCAGTTGGGTTCGCAGAGATTGTCAAGAGGTCGGGGGAACGAAGGGAGTGGAGGTTGGCCATTGCTTGGGCATTGGGGACGAATGTAAACCTTAAGTTTAAAATTCGTGGACCTTGGAGATGGGATGGAGCAGAGCGTCTGTTGGAGACGGAAGTTTGGGAGACGATTTGTCGAAGGCGATGGCTCTTTGGTAAGAGTCTCCGGACTGCGGAGAACTTGACATTGAAACTAACACCTGGTTTACAGATCATTTCTTATTGTCTTTTCTCCCCATGGCCATATTTGGTCCTTTGAGTTTGGCTTGCTGGATTTATGCCATGCCCTATCACGCCATGTTCGACATTGTCTTGGTTGTGTGTGAGCATGGCCCCGGGACTATACCATCTGCAAGAGTACTCTGGGTGGAAGGTAAACCGGTGTTGCACACAACTACTTCCAAAAATAGATGATAAGGGCCTTTTATGTAGTCTCTGAAAACAACGCAATGCTGACCTGATTCTTTCAAGTCTTTGCGGGGCCGATGCCCAGCCAAGCGAGTCCCTCTTCGTTTTAGTGTCAGTGGGGAGAATCGCATTGCTGTCCAAATCCGTATCTTTGGCGATGATGCTGATGGTTCTTTAGCACAGTGCGCTTGCTATGAGAAATTACGGAGTGGTACTATAGCGGCAGTCACAGGCATTTGTGTGGGTGTGCCAGGCAGTTAAACGACTTGTCTGAGAGAAGACAAGCAGTGAGGACATCTTGTGAGCGCGGTGAAAATATGGGCAAGGGAATTCACACCCATCTCGAGGACCCTAGGCCATTGTGCCTCATGGCTGCGTCAGGGAGACTGCAGAGAGACTCACGTCATGCATATCTAGGGTTGGGACCCTGAAAAGCAGGCCTGCACATAGTTTAGCAGATTGATAGCTTGGCGGTCACGGTCATGGGGATTGAGAGACCTTTATAAAATGGACTTCGAAGTCTTCTGGGACATGTTGCTCTTTCGAAGTCACTCTGTTCCTTCATTTTCTAGCTGTTCTCTGCCTAAACGTAGGGTTTAAGGTTGACATTCGTTCACCAACCCATCCATTCCTTTGAATATCATCTTACCTCAGTCGTTCTTTCAACCGCCAACACAGTCATGTATCTTTCTTCTGCTCTACTTGGCGGCCTTCTCCTCGCCGGAAGTGTCACGGCCAGTCCAGCCCGCGGTGTCTCCAATAAGAATATCAAGCGTGGAGAGGATGGTGCGTGTCATGAGGACAATGTGCATCGGTGCTTCATCCAGTCCGTCGATGCTGCCAGCGCCTTCTGCACAGGTGTCTTGCAAACTAACAACGCGATCACCGTCACGCCTACCGTGTAAGTCCAAACAGTTACTAGTATCTTCACCCAAGAACATTACTGACAAATCGATAGTACCAGCACCTTGGCCGCAACCCCTTCGCACAAAACTTGCTCCAAGAAGCCCAAGGCTACGGGGAAGGCTAAGGGCAAAGAGAGCAAGGGCAAGGGCAGAGATCATCATGGAAAGGGAAAGGAAAATCATGGGAAGGGGCATGGGAGGTTCAAGCGGCACGATAACTGCTTGGACGCAATGTCCATCTCGCCTGCTGAGGCTACCTCGGCCTGCTCTTGCATCGGCATCACAACTGTCACCGCGAGCGCTGTCACTTCATACGTCTCTGCTACCGAGTCGGCTACCTTGATCGACCCTAGAGAGACCGAGCCCTCTTCTGAGCCCACTGGGACTGAGATTTCTTCCGAGTCCACTGTCGAGACAGACACCTCGGCGCCGACCGATATCACCACCATTGACGAGACCATCACATCAGCTGCCACCGATTGCCCTGCTGCCACGACCATTGTGTCCACCATCACCCAGGTCGAGGTTCAGACAACCATCCACACCGCCTCGCAAGATGTTGCCACTGTCACGGAGACCCAAACTGCCACGCTTCCTCCTGTTGTGGAGACTGTGACCGAGACAGCGACTGCGGAGACTCTTGTCTCGACCATCACCGAGGTCCTCATTGAGACCGAGACCCACACTCATGTCCAGACAGACACCCACCTCCAAACCGACACCCATCTCCAAACCGACACTCATTTCCACACCGAATCCCATTTCCACACCGATACCCAGCTTCACACCGAGACTCATACCCAGACTCTGACTGAGACTGAGACTCTCATACAAACCCAAACTGAGGTTGAGACCCAGACCCAGACTCTGGTTGAGACCCAAACCCAGACTCAAACCGCCACCCTCATCCAGACACAAGTCGAGACTGAGACTCATACCCAAATCCAGCTTGAAACCTCGATCCAGGTCTCTTCCTTCACCGCAACCGTCACCTCAACCGCTTCTGCCTCCGCCTCCGTCTGCCCAACCGTTGCCGCAGCGGCGTCACCCATCAAGAATGGCAATTTCGAAGGCAACAGCCTCCGAGGATGGAACATCCTCGCCACCACCGGCAGCGGCGGAACCTCTTCCGTCGGAACAACCACCAACCACATCACCCCCCAAGGCAGACACTTCCTCCACCTCTACACCGGCTACAACGTCCACCCCCGTGGGCAGTCCAGCCTGACATACGGCCAGACCATCACCTGCGTCGCGGGCGTGAGGTACAGGCTGTACTATGACACCAAGCTCACGACCAACAGCCAAAGCGGTGTCGGGTGGTCGGTCAAGGTTGGCGTTACCACGATGCACTCAGGCAATGGGGCGGCGTTTGACTGGATGCAGAGGAGCAGTACTTTTGATTGCCATGCGAACCCGACGCGCAATGTGTTGCAGCTGGAGGTTCGGTCTACTGTTGCCAACACGGTGGTGAATATGAGCTTTGACAATTTTGTTGTTGTGCCTGTGACGACGATTGAGACTTGAGAGGCATAGGGGAGGCTTTGGACAGAGAAGGCGGTGGCGTGGAAGCTTCTCAGCATGCTACTCGTAGTTCTATGGATGATGTGTTTCTGGAAATGTCGACTGCCGATCACATGCTGTGCCCCCTTGACGCCGCCTCGATGCGTCTCAAAGGAACATGTAAGGTTGATATTGAGCAGTACACCAATGGCAATCGTTATAGTTGACTGCTTTGTTTCGTCAAATACATGTCAAGTATTGTCTATATCTAATCCAAAGTGTTTCTCATTACATATCCCAATCCATGTACCTATTATCACACGCAAAGCGCCAGAAGATGACAGAGTTCGTAAAACACCAAATGCATGAACTCTCATTATTATGTCATTACATCAACGACTATGACCTCTCCAGAGCTCACGCACCCAACTCCCTGGCCCTTTTCCCCAGGACCGCTCTCTTCACACCCAACCTCAAAGTTGACATGACCCCTTGACAGGGACAGTGGTATTCACTCTCCGCAGACTTAGGCAACGACAGCCAAGACACCAGCAACGAGGGCGAGCATGGTGCCCTTGACAGCAAGACCAGCAGCACCGCTCTCAGGGGTCTCCGAAGAAGTGCCAGAAGCAGCAGCAGCGGTACCGGTGGAGGTGCCAGTAGAAGTGCTGCTGGTCTCGGTCTCCTCATCATCGGTGTCCTCGGAATCGGCGCCAGTGGTGGTAGCGGCGGTAGCAGCGGTGGTGGCAGTGGTCAAGGTGGTCTTGGCACCTCCAGTGGTGGTGGTGGCCTTGGTGGTGGTCTCGTCCTTGTCCTTGCCCTCCTCCTTCTTGTTCTCAAACTGCTCGCTCTGGGCGAGGATGCCCATGTTGTTCTGCTTGACGCTCTGGAAGTTGAACTGGAAGGCGCCGTCCTCGGGGACGTCCTTCTCGGTGATCACGATGGAGCCGGTCGAGAGGTCGACCTCACCGAGGTCCTTGTTGTAGGGGGTGTGGCCCGAGGCCATGTTGACGAGGAAGAGGTGGGCCGAGTCAGGGTCGGTGTTGACGGTGGACCACTCGACCTTGACGCCGGCCGAGAGGTCGAGAACGTCGTTCTTGGAGGGGGAGGTGATCTGGATGGCAGCGACCATGGAGGCAGCGCCGAGGGAGGACGGAAATGGTGGAGGAGCGCATTATGGCCGTGGTTGGTTTTGTAAAAAGTATACTAACGAGTGTATGTATGAAGAACGAATGTGTGGTTGCTGTTTTTGTTGGAAAACAACGTGAAATACCGTAAAGACTGGAAGGTGGTGAACCGTGATGAAGTTGAAGGAGGTGGTTGAAGGAGGGACAAGATTTAATAAACACGCTGAAAAATGGAAGTTTTCTCCAACCAGTCACGCCAGCCAGCAGCTGGAAACCGGCAGGCCGGCAGTGCGTCAAACCTCTCCACTGATCACCAAAAGACACGAGAGAGGCAACACCCCACTGTGGGCTTGTCGCGATGGTGGTGCTTCAGGCGCGGGTACGAGGGTGTATTGCGCCGGCATCACGCCTGATAGGGACACTGACCCCTACCATCATGCTTGGTCAGCGTGGGCATGTCCACGGATTTGTGCCGCCCCTGCCACTATCGAGATTATGCGGCTTGACAACAGCAGGTCGGGAATACCTTCAGCTTATCTCTGAGTATGGGACATGCTGAAAGACCTGCGAGTCAGTGGCGGTATCCGCGACGTCCGGTGGAAGGTCGCCAGGGAGATGCCTGTCGTCGCGCTTTATTTAATGATAGTTTCCACTTTGAGTGCTGCGGTCCACCAACAAGCTCGTGTTGCAAAAAGTCCCGATAAAAAGTGTGGTGCCATCTTCACCCGATGGAAGAAGCAAGCGGTTTCTTTGCAGGATGTGAGAGGTGAGTGCAATTGACTGTCTGCACTGTCCAGGAGGAAACACAGTGTCCCTCATTGGAAGTCGAAGCGGCTGAATCGCGATCATTTGGTGGTGTGGCTTGTCGCCTCCGGGTTGTATGTAGTTATGGGAATGGCAAACATCGAATATTCATGACAGGCTTGGGGCAAAGAACGGAATATCAATACCGTGTGACAGTATTTCGATATAAAAGCCAGCCAAACAGCAGGGTGTAATGTATATGTAGACTTGTCTCGGGTAGGCTCTCAGTGGGCACACAGCATGCGCTGTGACACCTTCTGACACTTGTCAGATTCCTCTACGACGTATCAACACCAAAGAAAATGTAGAGAATGTGCCGCCGTCGTCAGACCACGTGGAAAGCTGTTGACAACCAAAGACCAACACAAGAAGAAGTGATGGATCGGCGAGGATATTTTTTTCGGATGGCGGCACCCGGGGACCGTCAGCCCTACATGTCATGGTTGTCTCGACAAGACCAGACCAGATGGACCCGCAGTCAGTGACGGTTCGGAGAACTCTTCCGGACTGTGACGTTGTTTCGGGCCTCCGTTTTCCGCTTCCATGTTCGGCAGTCCCAGCTCCGAAGGAACCGAAGAAATGGCCAAGAAAAAAAAGGGACAAGACAGAAAAGATGACGGTAATGGATGATGGATGGTGGGTGTTGGTGATGCAGTGTTGAAAAAATGTTTATATTGAAAAGTGTGGTTCTTGGCGCAGATTTCGTCCCGTGCATGTCCCAATCAATCCAAGGACCTGTTGAAACCAACGTTCAATCTTCTTTGCGCATCTCCGCCCCTTCATCTGCTGCAGAGGGTCTCTGCTCTTGCCCTGTGGTTACGTCGGAAAAGCGACGATCGGTCAGATGTTTGAAGCTGTCGCCACCTTGAATTTGATATCATGCTGTGACTGAGATGCTCTCTCCCAGCTGTTGTCTGTTGTCTGTGAATGGTGATGCTGTTGATTGTCCTTGCAGTTGACCTTGGCTTGAGGAGGTGGATGCTAGTCCAAAAAAGGAGAAGTGAGGTCCCAATCGCAATGTGCTCGGACCCTGTGGGGCGCAGCAATGCAATTACTCGCTGCTGATTGGCCCAGCTGGGCGTTCTCGTGTAACCTGCCAAACCAGCGTCAACAGCTGCCAGGCGTGCCAACACTTGCCAAGGGACGGTCATGCCAGGAACCATCTCGCCCAGCCAGAGCCTGTCAACACCACAGCGACCCTCGCTCATGTCGCCTTGCCCGAGCCATGCCTCTTTCGCTGTTGTCCCGTTTGGCGGGGGTTGCAGTTGCGCAGAAACTGCAATGGAAGGACAGCAAGACGAATGGAATCGCAAGGGGATGCGAAACGAGCCGGCATTTGGTCAACTTCTCCCCACACCATAATCCTTCCTTTTCTTCTTCCCAGGAGGTCCAGTTGCTGTTACCAAATCACCAGTCACCTGATAGCTCGACAAGCACGCTCGGACAGTGCTTCGAGTGACAAATACCGGTAGCATCATAGGTCTCTATCACTGCCGGTCCGGCAGGCTCACCACCTCAGCTCAGCACCCCAGGGGTGCTTCAGTGGTGGAAATTAGGATCCAGGTTCTGGGGCAGAGCGGGGGTTCCATTTCGCCATTCCGCCGTGTACAGTAGCGAGGGGGACTTCCCACAGCAGCCAAGGCTCACTTCCGGTGACTGGGCCTGGCAGCCTTCTAGAACCGATTGGGGAAAGCTACGTCCCCGCGAGAACGCACCAGTTTTGGCCTCTGGGACTACTGGAATCTCAAGCTGAGCGTCTTAAACTGCAGCCATTCCCGAAAGCCTCATCGTCACACATACTCCCGGTGCTATCGTCGTCAATATACCCCCGTGCCATAATCCTCAACTACCCGACACTAACACCGCCTGTCCGACCACAACCAGACCGGCCGAACACAGCAGCGACTACCAGGGATCCCCGACGAGGCTGCCGAGTGTGGATGGTCGAGATTGACAATCATTCGCAGCCGATCCCTCCTCAGACCTGGAGTCGAGACTGAAGTCATTGAAACTTACGGCTCGCAAACTGGAACTCAAACATCAGGTGGAGAAGGGGTGACAGACGGACGAACTGTGCTTGAGACGAACCACCGGCCGAGAGAGAGGACTGGACAGAGGATGGCCGACGTCAAGACGGCTGCTGGCAGCAGCAATGGGAAACCGGCCATCCGACGAGGGCGCCGCGAAAAGCCATGGCCGGTCGAAAAGCAAAAGAAATTGTTGCGCCTCTATGTCTGTACACAAAGCGAAAAATTACCGCTCGTTCGCATCCTTGAGCGCCTGAAAGATGGCACGTTTGATCCCAGGTGCGCACCCCCTATCCACGACATGCATGGCGGCCAAGGTGTGGCTAACAAGACATGACTGTGTCACAGGCAGCGCAACACTCACAAGCACCTCAAAAACTTGCTACCAGATCGTCGAATCGATGATTGGAGGCCCAGAGACATGACCACCATGCTCGTCAGAGTTCGTTTCCTGAGGTCGGTTCGGGAGGAGCGGCGGATGAGGAATAGGAGGGCCCGCCAACGGCTAGAAGCAGCGCGATCACGCAGCTATCCCGATCCCATGAGTGCCTCAGTGTTCTCTGACGCGCAGACCGGGTTTTACGCCGAGGGCTCGGATACCAGCGTCACCATCAAACAGTCCGACTCGCCCGACTCATCGCCGCTGGCGATTGCCAGCGCCAGCTCAGCCGACTCCCCAGACACCTCCGATACCTACATGCGAGACAAGTCGCCGTCACGCGCATCGTCACTCACACCATCGGCCAAACGAAGATCATGGGCCTCGGTTCTTTCCAGCATCTCGTCAGGCATATCGAGTCTGGCCCGCTCGTCCTCTTCAGCGTCGTCGAGGCGCATCAACCTGAACAACACGGGGGCCAACACAGCGCTGAGCAAGATGACACGGGAGGAGTTTCTGGCCTCACTTCAAGACAAGCCCCGCAAGCCGTTCAAGGGAACCAAGGCCACCAACGGTCTCTTCAAGCCGAAATACTCGACAGTAAACCCAACCACGGAAGAACTCAACAAGGCCCTGCTTGAGATGTGCTGTTCTAATTATTACGATGGCGAGGACAGGACAGGCGCCGTGTGCGTTCACGAGCGGTTATCAAGGGCCATTGAAGCACAAGCAACCGAGAACTCGGCGTTTACCAACTTCTCGGTAACAGATGAAGAGGCTAACATGGTGGACAAGTATGGCAACTCGCTACTTCATGTGGCTGCGCGGTGGGGTGCGCGTGTTTCGCTATTGCTACTGATCATTAGGCATACGGACGATCTTCAGATGGTCAACCAACGGGGAGAAACATTTCTTCATGTCTACGCTCCACCAAGCCAACCCAGACTTAGACCGGTGTCTTTCCTGAATCTCATACGTGTCTTGCGGTCCAGGGGATTTGACTTTTGTCTTCGAGACGGCGAGAAGCACACATTCCTGCACCACATTGTCGCCAAGGAGGAGTTTCCGATCGAAACATTGTACTACGTATTTCGCGAAGTTGGACACGGTGCTGCTCGGTTTTTGGTTGCCAGCAAGGCGGCAGATGGAGAGAGGCTATGGCACAGCGTGAGGCGGAATCTGGAGAGGACGGCCCCTAAATTAGCCAGAATATTTGGCGACGAAGTCGAGTTCATTCGTCGTTACCTCCCCGAATTCTCCGACTCAAAGGCCCCATCGACGGGCGACAACTCGACTTGCGGATCCGACAGTCTCTACTCGCTACCCCACCACCACCAAGAAGTCATGACTATGAATGACCCCAACGATAGTTCAGCCCAGCACGTCCGTAGATCACCGATTATGAAGCTTTTGCGCCGGGCCGCTGCGGGAAGAACGGGTTTTGCCGACACCGACTTGAACAAGAAACTAGAGTCCATATTCGAGACGGCCTCGAAGGCGCCAGACTTTGAACTTCACGCCTTCCTTGCGAAACGGGATACAGAGGGCAACACAGCACTCCACTACGCATCCGAGTTCGGCATTGTGACCGCCGTCCAGTTCCTTTGTGGAAAAGGTGCCAATGTTAACGTGTTCAACAACTGCGGCAACACTCCTCTCCAGCTGGTCAAATACGCCATCCAGAGAACCGATGTCCGATCCGACATCCACATGGAAGCTCGCTATCTCCGTTGCGCCGTGTTGTTGCTGGAGCAAGGGGCCTTTGATCAGAGCAAACTCGTCAGCGAGAGGAGCATCATCTTCCCCTATGCCAATGTTTTTGATGGGAGCGAGAGGTCAATCCAGAACCTTGTCAAACAGGGCGTTGCAAATCAGTGCAAGGGTTTGCATTTATTAACGAGCAGCACCAAGCATCACGGGCTGTACTACGGCTTGGAGGGACACGACCACGGACATTGTCATGGCCATGGAGGAGGCGGGACATCGTTTGGCTGGGCAGATCACGGCCGGCTGTTGGATGGCTTGATGGGAAGAAGATCTGGCTCAGGAAGGGGCAGAAAACGGGCTCCAAGTCCTTTGGGTGCAGGAGGTGGCCCGATAGGAGGAAAGGCAGGCCCAGAGGGCATGAACTTGACTTTCCAGACGTCAGTTCTGAGCAGTTGTTGACCCATGGATGGGGGATTTTCCTTTGTGTCGTCGCTTGGATACCTCGGTTCTGCGTTTTGCTGCCTATTTCTGTTTTGGGAGCGGTGGAGGTGCCACCGTTGGAGGGAGATGATTTTCCTGCCCACGCCTGTGTCATGACCTGACAACCATTTCCTTTTTCACGTCTTGTTTTTAACGTCGTCGGTGGTTACATATGAACAGGGCTGTTATATGGGGGCCGGTGGAGACGTGTGTATAATATTATCCCTTTGCGGCAAAAGGCAAGCGGCGGTGTTGGGCAAACCATTTTCGGGTTTTTGGCTTTTTCACATATTCCCCTTTTTTTGTTAATCTTCGTTTGGCTTTGTTTATATCATGCCGCTAGCAAGATGGGAGGGGACATGGCCGGCGGCATCACCAATCTCGAAAGAGATGGTCATTGTCGGGGCAAGAGCTGGGAGAGGTCCATTAAGCAGACATGAGAAGGCAGAGGATGAGTCCCTGCTTCTCTCATGGGCGAAATAGAATACTTGATCATTTACTCTGTTCACACACGTCGAGAGCCTGGCGAGGATGTGTTGTCGCTCTGACCGTGCCGTCATCGGCCAAGACGTCCTGATCTCCCCAGAAGGCAACAAGCTCGTGCCAAAAAGGCCCTCCTCAGCCCAGTCGTAACTTTGTCTTGTTTTCTTGGGTTCTGGAACTTTTTTGCTACACTAAATTAGGCTCGGGGTTTTCCTATCGAAGATCTGCTCAGCTAGCTAATGCTGACCAGGCAGTTGCGCGACTGGGCACTTGCACAAAATCTACATATAAAACCTTGTAAAATCCCAATGTAATTTTAAAGCGAGTAAGGGTATAAACAATCTACTAAGAATTTTAAAAAGTAGTTTAAAAGTTTAAAAATAGTAATTTAAAACCGCAGACTTTTTAGGATTTTTATTTAATAAAGATTTATATATTTTTAAGTAAATTTTTGTTTCTGTTAAGATTTATATATAAGCTACTAGTAACTCTTAACATTTAAATATTGAATATGTTTTTTTAATTTAAAATGTAAAATTCGAAGAAATAGACCTATATACTATTAATATAAAAATAAATAATAAAAGTAATATTATAATTTTATTAGTGTTACGGACCTGATATAAGTAGGGAGCGCGGGGCGCGACCCGTCCAACCACTAGGAACGGAAAAGTGGGGAAGTCAAATTATCACTTGCGCTAAGGGTAATAATCACGATTATCACTGGTAATAATGGTAATAAATAGGTCTATATATATGGAGGAACTGGCTAGTGTAGATAGATAGTTCCGCAGTATGCAATTCACAATTGTATTTACGGTATTTTATGTTTACATTAAGATATCTTATTGTGCATTATTTAGCTGCACCGAACTAATTGTTAGAAGTTACTTTTAACCCATATCCCTTTCAAAAGTTCTATATAGGGGTTCGTTACATTTAACTATACCGAATTAGGATTATTTAAAAGTATCTTTAACTAATATCCCTTTTAAAGATTTTAAATAAAGGTTTGTTATATATTATATATTTACTTTAACTCTATTATTATTAATATATAGGTACTACTAAATGCCCTACTTACTGCTTTACAAATTAATATTATAGTGGGCAATATTGCTATAAGTAGTAGTGGAACTTCCCGGCTTAGATCCCTTAAGAATATTCTTTACAAAGGACCTTTAAAGGCATACAGGGCTACTATTAGTTTGGGGTACGGCCACAGGCCTAAGAGTATAAGTAAGGAAGCGGGGCTCTTAAAGGACTCAGGGGTTCAGGGGTCATATATATAAGCGGTCTGCTTCGGATATTCTATTTTAGACAGGACATTGACTTTCATTCTTTTCTTTATATTTTGTGCCTTGCACGCGTGCAGGCAATTCTGGCCCTCTAATTAGGCCAATCCGGTGCTTATTATGTGGCCTGCGAGCCTATAGTGTCTTTTCTTTGTCTTACGTGAAGTGCGGCCTGCGAGCGAGTTACTGTCACGCAGGTGTTTTTATTCTGAGACTTGTTGAGGGTATATTTGTAGTGTTGTGGTT